AGCGCGAACGAGAAAACGAGAAACAGCTCCTCGAGCTGTTTCTCTCGTTTCTCTGGGGCGGACTTTCAATTGCCATGCGCTGTACTGATGTTCCAGGCTCTCGGTTGCTTATGTCTTGCCTAATACGATATGTTTTGGCTTGTTGTGACGCGCTGTTGGACGCGCACTAAGTTGTGTTCTGGCACCCTTGCAACTACTGAGCTAGGGCAGGGCCAGTATAGTGACCCTGCTGATACTGCCACATACCGTCCCAGTCCGCCATAGAATACAGCACGTGGGATGAGCACGAGCTATCTGACAGCTGTGGTGTCTAGCAGTGTCTAGCATGCGACGAGAAATCCGCCAGAAAATGCACGCTCAATAACTTCGGGTTTCTCCGTGTCGCCGCGTCGGCAGAAGGGGTGCCAGTGCGCCCGAGAAAATGAAAACGAGAAACGATATTGAGTTGGGCTACTGACCACCCCTAATGGTTCTGCCACCAGAACCTGATTTGATACCGCGTCATCAGAAACGCTGCGTTGGTATGTACTCGTCTCCTCGTATGTCGTATAATGTGCAATAAGTATACCTTGGATGGACAGGAAGACGGCTAGGGACAAGTAAATGTGCTACAGGAGTCAGTGGCTTTACAGATAGCCTGAGCTAGCCTGCGATATGAAAAAGGGATTGATCGCATACGGAGACTCCAGATACCCGGTCGGGGGGATCTCCTCCGAAGCAGTGCACTGGAGCATCAGTGTCAGCTCCGATTCGATGCAATCTTTGCGGAAGTACTTGGGGTCCTGGCAGATGGCCATCTTCGTCCCTTGAATCACTTCAGATCTTGACGTGCGCGTGAACGCAGCGCGACCAGGTCCTGCAACAGTCTAAACGTATTCTATCTACGTTCTGCTACAGTAGAAAGGATCGTGTGCTCAGAAGCAGGAACAGCGACGAAGTTGTCGATCCAGGCTTCGCGTTCGAATTACCTTGACGACCCCGGATGACCCCTGCATTGGTACATCGTATTCGACAAGAAGTTGCCCGCGCCGAACTTTGTTCATTTGAAGGCGGTTATGACTAGTTAAGTACGACCGTCAAAGAACAACAAAGCAGAGGCAGGTTCACCTTCCAGCCTTTGCAGTTAGATAGGCCATCAATATAGAAAATTCGTGTATTGTCGGGGTATTATATCGGAGTCTCGGAGATGGTGCCAAGGACGTCTGAAGATGGCTCGAAGGCTCAAATGGTATGATGGTTAGGTCTCGGGGACTTGAATTTAGCTCTCGGACATGGTCCGACTATGCGCGGTTTTTTGCAAAGTCCATCGATCTGCAAACGGCTGTCACTGTGTCAGACGATCTCCTGACTTCCCCCTCCAGCGATGGAGGATGTTATACTTAGTCCAGTTACCTCAGGTATGACGAAAGCCGGTCTTTCGCCTATTCTCTGTATATAGATCCTCGTTTTCTTTTCTCTGAACTTGACCGGACATGTCTACGAGCCCATTGAGAGGGAAGCTTGCACTCATAACCGGCTGCACGTACGTATAGTCTCCCCTTGTACAGGCACTACAGCTGAGCCCACGTCTGTCATGGTCTTATAAACTTGCGGTCACCCTAACCCTTCTTCGCATCCCGTTCCATTACCCCCGGCTTTGTGTCCGTTCATTCCGATCGCGTCGCATCACAATATACATGTACACCCTTGACTTGATAAACCGCCGATCCCACACTACCCTCCTCCTTCCATTCACCACCCTGACAATCATGACTGATACCTTGATCTCCCGAACCCACCAGCGGTGGCATCGGCCGCGCGACCGCGCTTGCGCTAGCCAAACAAGGCCTGAACATCGCTATCCACTACAACGCCAACTCCACATACGCCGCCTCGCTCCAAGGCGAGCTTGAACAGCTCGGGGTGCACTCGGCGGCGTTCCAGGCGGACATGGGTGACTACGACGAGGTGCGCAGGCTGCACCGCGAGGTGGTGGGGAGCATGGGCCACCCCGATGTGCTCTTCAACAACGCCGGAACGACGGGGAAGGTGATTGGACGGGAGGGCCAGATCGAAGATTTGGATATGGCTGTGTTTGAGAGCACTTGGAAGGTTAATGCTGGGAGTAGCTTCCTGGTAAGGATTAAACGAGGAGATACCCGGTGCCATTCCAAAGCTGTCGGATTAACAAAAACCAACTACTTTCTGGTAGCTGACCCAGCTATGCGTCCCGCACATGGTCCAGCAGAAGTTTGGCAGGATCATCTTTAACTCCAGGTGCGTGTCGCTAGCATCTTTCGTCCCAGGAATTCGCACCGAGCGAGCGAACGACCACTGACACGCTGGAATAGCGTTGCTGCTGGCACCGGAGGGGTCATCGGGCCCCACTACGCTTCGTCCAAATCCGCCCTGCACGGCATGATGCACTGGATCGCGCAGCGCTACGCCAAAGACGGGATCGTGAGCCTAGTATGACCACATATCCCAAAGGCCTTGGCACTGAGCGTAATCATAGACGTGCAACGCCATCGCGCCAGCTCTCATTGTTGGTACGTCTGCTCTCTTGCTGAACCGAATAGGCACTTGATATATGAACCACAGAAACGGGGATGATGGGCAACCCGAATCCCGAGAATATGGTGAGCCTTCTAGTCCCGAAAGAAAGCGCTTTTCTCTATAGATGTACTTACTCCTCTCCTATACTTGCTGTAGAAAATGATCCCAGTCGGCCGGTTCGGTAAACCGGAGGAGATATCGTCGATAGTGGAGATGCTCGTGGGCAACGCGTACATGACGAACAAGGTGCGCAATCGCTTCAATACTCCTTTCCCCAATTCTATGCGTGCCATGAAAGCCTATACAAGGACTTGGTACTGAAATGGGGTGTGCTGCCTAGATTATTGTTGCGGATGGAGGCTGGACAGCTGGGGCGTTCTGAGTAGGCCTCGGGGGCAGGTACTTGTGCTTCACAGCGTCGAAAGAATATCTGCTGCAACGGGACATGTCCGAGAGCGTAACGACGTCCGTTGTTTGCTCTCCGGTATCAGGCATCAGAGGTACACTCGGTGCGAACGCAAACGCCTGCCTCGTAATCATCACATCGCGCTCTGGCTGCCGTCCATCCTTCTACCCTCGGCCTTTCTTTGTGTTTCTTCCCTGTGTTCACGCTCCACGCTCCAACGTTCGGGGTGGGAGGAGCAGTACTCGGGGGTTTGACCTGCATCCCATCAGTGCTTCTCTCAGTTGCTCACTGTGATGGAGGATCATATCAAGAAGGTCATTCAGAAGCATTACCTCTGAGGTTAAGGCTTCAGTACTAGCGCCCCCTCGTAAGAACGCGCTCCTGTGACATTCCATCGACTAGGCTTCGGCCATTGGCAAACACGCGAATACACCGCACAGTCCGTTGCGCTCCTGTGCAGAGTCCATAATATATATCACAATAAGCAGTTACCCAGCGAGAAGCATCCATGAACCCTATGATTTCTGGCTAGGAGGGGGAGCAGACGCGGGAGAATCTCCAGCCAAACCCTCTTCGAGAATCTTCTCATCAATATCGAAGACGACCTCCCTGCTTGTTTGATCCGAGCCACCTGCGGCAGGCGGCAAAGGAGCCGTCGTGGCGCCCTCGCTGGACCGCCGACTCTCCTTATACATCCAAAAGCCGAATACAAGCGCGAATAGAGAGGCGAGGCCGAGCGCGGCGATGACAAGCCCCATGATCAGGCGGAAGATGAGCGTCCCGATGGTGAAAACGATGTACGTGGCGACCGTGACGGCCATAGAGATAATGTAGGCGGGCACGAGGACGACGTAGAGCCATGCGCCAAAAATGATGCGCTGCTTCCAGTACGGGGTGGTTGGGTCGCCTGCTGCGTAGTATATTTCTGGGACCGCGGTGGGATCGTCCGGCGAAGACGCCTCGAAGGTCAGCATCGGCACAGTCGCGAGAGCCTCATGCTCATCCTAGTACGCAAGCGTCAGCTGTAGACGCCTCAAAATGAGAACTAGCTGCGTACTATGGTGTATAGCGACCACCTCCCGGCGCTCTGCTGCAGTTCTACCGCCAGCACGACGTTGTCCTTCGACCGCTGGAGCCGCTCCCCGATTACCGCATACATCATCCTGCTGTCCGTCGTGGGCGTCAACCCGCCAATCTCGCACATCTGGAGGATCCACCGCTGGGGACCCCATATACGTGACTGGTGGAAGGTGAGAGACGCCTTCGAGTGCTCGACCAAAGGTATTTGCCGATCATTGACGAGGAGGCTTCCAGTCGAGTGTGTCCCTGCGACGGGTAGCTCAACGTCCCAGCGGACCGCGATGAACTCGTCTTCGTAGCGCCGCCACTGTTCTGCTGGTACCCAGTTTTCGGTCAAGAGCAGTACTCGCTCTTGCGGGAAGGTGTCGCTCTTGACGCCGTCGGAAATGAAAATGAGCGTGACGAAAGGGATTTGAATCGCAATCCCCCATAGTAAGGCGAGTTGAGCGATCCTCCAGATTCCGAATCGCACCATGGTGGGAAGAGGTAAGGACCGTAACTTTTGCTCCCTGCAGCGACCGTTGTTGTCTTTATCGACCCAGGAAAACGCTTAGTTGAAGCGGGAGCATTATAATTATATGCCACACAGCCGCAGACCGCGGTTGTATTGAGGGAAAAGCCAGACCTCTGGACTAGGCTTGATACTGCGCCTCCTAAATAAGACTTAGTAGACGAGCAACTGTCTTAAATGGACTCTGGACCTCAGATCTGTGCCGGTCTCAACTGCCGGCAGCACGTACTTGAGCTCGACCACATACAGATTCATTGTAGTGATAGGAAGTACAAGTGTATCGGTATGGTACGACACTGTTAGACGAAAGGAATGTAGACAGGTATTGCAAAGCAAGTAGTTCTGGATCTAAGCCCTCGACCCGGTCTAGGAGAAATTGACGTCTATACCCCACAGCTTGGATGAAACACCTTTACGCCTGCTTGTCCTTCCCGTACTTTCCGTTGCGTTGAAGCGCCATTGCATAGTCATTCACAACTTCGGAGTTGTTCGGAATGCATGCCGAATGGTCAGCAGAGACAGTGTACCCCCTCTGGCAACGTAGAACAACACAGCTTCCCCGAGTACAAGAGACATCCTGAACGCCCGGCAGCGAAGAACAGTCCTCTCCGCGAGGACTGTATTTCGTCAAGGGTGTCACACATCCTCCACCTGCCGGCTCCATGTCAGTCATTGGAGATACGGTGCGTAGACGGACATACAGCTCTCCAAGTCAGAGCGCGTATCAATGCATTCGTACGCCCACGGCGCTCCGCTGGGGACACCGCAAGCCGTCCAACCAAATTTGCATTTCGGGGAACGCGACCGCTTGGTTGGCTGAGAGCTCGGACAGAGAGACGATGCCTGGCAAACCCCGTTGCAGACTACGTTCCCGGGAGGGCAAATACATGTATTGCCCGCGTTGTTTTGGGAGAAGCCGTTGATGCATGTGAACGCGCAGACACTACTTGCAGTGCACTGTGCCACAGCTTCGTCAGGGTAAAGGCAGGTGCGCGAGCTCGCAGACGATTGGATCTATCGTCATGTTACTCAGTCTAGCGTACAATCTGAGGTGAAGATAAGCTTACCATGGTGATCAGGGCTGCACTGGTAGCGGCAGATCCCGCCACCGCACTTGCAGCAATGGCGACCACATTAGAGGCCATGAAGACGTCGAGATTGGATATACATAGGCAGTTTTCTGGGTGACGCGAGTGAACACTCTGGAGCGCGATACATATGCTACAAGCACTTACGAGAGATCTGCCCAACCGTAACTTTGGGAAGTCCAGGACTGACGGTCACCTTCAAAGAACCACTAACGTTGGCGCAAGTGTCCGTCGTCACTGCAGCGACCAAACCGGGGGAAGCTAGTAAAGCGATTATCAAGCTCGTGGACCACATGCTGGGTTGGCAAGACGTCTCCAAAGGGGCGAGGGCTAGGGGTAACCATCTCTCAACGACTGTTCATTATATCCCGTCCCCATATTTTCGGATGTCCAGTTAACCAGGGCCAGGAACGGCTGCACCGTTAGACGGTTTGACAGCTGTCCAAGATATAGATCGACAAAATAGAATGAAACTTTAGCGGGACGGTTCACGATTCAGTGGCAGTGCAGGCAATCCAGACCCTCTCAGGGACGTCTTGCATGCATCCTCTGGATTTGTTCTGAAGACACCGCGACCTTACACTTAGAATCTTGAGACACGGACAGAAGAGAGTATAATATCAGGGCCAAATGAGTGACGACAGTGGAAACCTACATAACGAACACGGTCCGAACAGCAAAAAACAACCGAAGGCCATAGCAAGACACCGCGTTGACCCCTGATGAACATGCAATGAAAACCGGCTGAAGAACACACCACGCATCCACCGACCTTCTCTCATCTCGCATTCCACCTCGAGTAGTGCCATTTCTGTCGGCCCGACTCTCGCGGTCGCTAGCGCCTGCGCTGGAAAATGCCCATCGAATACTCGCTGTGCCAATTGCAACCCCCCACATGGTAGCTGTGCCATCCAAGTGCAGAGCGAGTTGTACACTCATCTGCGTCTGCGTCTGCCCCAAAACCCTTCCACACCACGCTCTTTAACCGTATCTGCGAGGTCGCCATCCCGTTCGGAAGGCGACAGCAAATTGTCGCAGTTCTCGGGGATAGGCCCGGAAGCTAATGGCTCTCCCGCTTGCTGCTCGAGCAGCTCGATGGAGAGTGAGCGCGGTCGGGGCTGCGACAACAGCCGTACGGTGGGTCTCCCGCGTATTCGAGGGGAGATGGTTCGTTGGACATCGAGGCTAGCTTGGCCCACCAGTGGACCAGCAAACGCTGGAGCTCCCTCCCGAGCAGCCACCTTCTGTCTCTTGACTGTACTTGCACGAATGGCTTTCAGCGTTGGTGCCTGAGAGTTCGTATCGTGCGCTCGTTTACGTTTTGCCATAGTGATTGTATTCGGAAGAGATTGGTGAATGGGAGACGAGTGATGGATGGTGACGTCGAAAGAGGCCGCGCGATGAAAGGCAGAGGCACTGGGAAGTGCGATGCAACATTGCTAACAGGATCACCTATATAAATGCAAGGCTGTGTGCCACCCATAAGCCAGTCAGCTGTACAGCGAAGCATGGTTTGCACGAAGTAATCCTTTGTCTTCTGGAACATGGCTATAAGAACAACAAGACGATGGAGGACAGGCAAGGACGCAAATGATGGCATGGCCTGAGTGCTTTTGTGCAACCCACCTGCCCAGTGCGTCTAATTGTCACGACCTGCTTGTCGAGGGGGAAGTAAAGATGAGAGTGGTCGCTGCCTGGGGAAACGGCCCATCCCTTCATGGAAGATGGGAATCCTTTCTTGAAGTACGGCGAGAACGAGAATTATATGGGATACACCTACTTATGGATAGAATACAAGCATAGCACTCTTGCCCCTGAGTACAGGGCCAGTCAGGGAGCTGCGAACGACAAGACTCGTACCATTAACACCGGAAATGACCCGTGCCTATGGATACCGTTGCTGCTCCGGCACCATCTGAGGCAGTCGTGGTTGCACACACAATGGCTCACAATGATGACTGAACCCGGTCAGTCAAACAGGGACATCGGCACGAACGACAACACGTACCCGAATGTGCGCCTCAGTACCTCGTCGAACACCATATCCTTTGCCTCACGCATCAGCCTCTCCTCATGCCTAACAACGCGCAACTCTTCGATCAGCGCCTCATGCTGTTCCAGCGCATACCCATGCTTTGCTTTCATCACCAGATACTTCACCATACTCGGCGACCGCCCCATTATCAGCCCCGTCTGCGGATCCATCGCCTGCATCAAATGAGGAGGAACACCATCTTCCTGTTCGCTATCGGCGTCGCTCGGGCTAGCTGAGCGGCGGCCGAGATTAAAATAGTCGCCACCCTCGCCTCCCGACAGGGCACCGTCTTCGTACGGCATGTCTGAAGGAGTTTGAGCCTCAACTTTGAAGGTCGTGAACCCGTGAGTGGTTGGTGTCTCCACTTCAGGCTCTTCGCGCTTCCGTTTGCGATTGCCACCCCGCCCCGGGAGCGGGGGCGAGATGTTGTGCTGGAGGCGCATATGCTTCACGAGAGCATCGGAGCGGGTGAAGGATTTGTCGCACTCTATCGAAAGGATAGTAATCAGAATCAGTTTGCCAACTTGCAAACACAGACTCCGACACCGACCTGGTCGTGGACATGTGAATGGCTTTTCGCCGGTGTGCGATCGAATGTGTGAGATGAGCGCAAATCTCGATGTCTGAGCCAGACCTCTCCTGGAGCAAGTCGCCCATTCGCAAGTGTAGTTGGACTTGTGGACCCCAATGTGATCTATGCTGCATATACTCAGTAAATGCGCTCGGCGATCCCGTCCAAAGGCCGGACCGCACGCACCATTATGAATATGCTCTATGAGCGTTGGCAAATGAGTGAACACCTTCCCGCAGTCCTCCCATTGGCATGCCACTGTGTCCGTGTCCTTGCTATTCGATTGAGGATTGACAGAGGCAGGGGAGCCAGGTCGAGATGGAGTTACAGTTACAACGCCTGCCTCATAATCAGCGAAGGCGGTGAGGTCCTCGTCAGCAGATGAGTCGCTGAACGAAGGTGAAAGGGGACCAGGCGACGGCGACGGGCTGCGGATGCTACGGGTCATCGCTGCAACAGTGCCGAGCTCGTCGTCGAGGCCGTTCTTGACGCAGTTTGTGGACAAGTTGTGGGCGCCTGTTTACGCGTATTTTGTGTCGCCTGCATTGTGGCAAAGGCTGGTGGTGACTACAAGCCGCTCAACTTCAACGTTTCAACGGTGCTCCTTGCTCTTCCCTTGTTCTTGCCCTATATACCGCCTGTGCCTGCTTGTATTCTACCATGAATACACCCTACAATAACTTCGTCCAACACCACGTTCAATTGCCTGGTACGCCAGCAACCCCCACTCCAAATGGACGACCCAGAGGGACTGGCGCGAAACGTGGTAGAAAACCAAAAGCAGCGGGAACGGCATTAAGGACAAGTTCACCGCGACCTCCTTCCCAGACGCCTGGACCCGTTACGAGCCAGATTACAACATTGCAATGGCCCCAGTCGACTGCAGGGCCCAGCGGCAGCACTGCTGGACCAAGCCAGCCCAGTGCAAACCCAGCGTCAAAGGTTGAGGAGAGCCAAGCGGGTCAGAATGCAGCAAGTAGTCAGGTTGCGACCGCTCCCGTACTATTACCAGAAGGTGCGACTTTGAGTGTTCCGGCAGCTGGCACAGCGCGTGGAACGCCTGCTGGGGAGGATGAAGGGGAGGGAGAGGACGAGATGCTACCCGCTATGGCGGATGATGACTACTCCGCGCAACTATCATGGCAGAGCCAGTCGAAGGACAACTTAAAGTGCGTGGCATAATTTCTCTGCATACGCTTAACGGCACCACTGACGGCCTTTCAAACCAGAGTTCTCATGGACAACTTCACGCCGGAGCAGTACGACCGGTTCGAGGCTTACCGCCGCCATGCGCTGCCCAAGCAAGCAGTCAGAAAGGTGCTTACCATACTCCCCGCGCATCGTCTGCATTCCCCGGCTGACCGGTTGCGTCCTCCACGCAGGTTGTCCAGCAAGCGCTCGGACAGCAGGTCTCGCAGCCGATCGCGCAGATAATCGCCGGTTTCTCGAAAGTCTTCGTCGGCGAAATCATAGAGAAAGGTAATGACGTCTTCCCGCAATCCATGACAGCTGTCCCCCGCTTACGCGCTTCGCATCATCCCAGCCCGAGCGGTCCAATCGCGTCGAGGGGAATCGGGACCATTATCCCCGGACCACCTGCGGGAAGCATACCGGATATACCAGCAGGAGACAGGCAGGGTTGGCGCAGCTCGGCCATTGCGCGCGAAGCGTCTCTTTGTACGTTAGACCTGTCTATCGCGTCCTCGATGAGTCCTACCTTAGTCGTACTGTATTGCCGATGGACGGTATGTTAGCACTTGTCAGATCCAAGGGTGGCTCTCTAACGCCGATACCCAGCCCTGTAATATCATTGCCTTACTTGTATCATAAAGGATTATCTGGAAGCGCGAATGCGGGTGCGATTTGACCTCTCCGATCTCCAGCCACAGACGTGCGACTTTGATGATCCGTCAGCAGCCGTCAACATAGCTTGTCTTGCCTGGGCGCTACGGCGTGTCGACAGTCTCCGCGGAAGTCCGTGAAGTTGATGTCTATCCCTCGTCTACCTGAGTCTGCACTTATTATCTGCATTTCTTGCTTTGCTACCAAGAATGTAGATGCACACAGATACCGGTACACGTGCAGCAGTCATTTCCCTGAGAGGCCCCAGATCACTGGCTACTTGCGGCGGTACCCCTGTAGCAAGGGAAGCGTCTACATAACGGATACACGTCTTGACAGTCTTGCTCTGAAATCGGGCGAATAGATTCCGACGCTGTCTTGTTCCACAACGGATTCGCTCTAAAGTAACGGAGCCACCAGAGTTTGTATAGCGAAGGATATGAAGCTGTAAGTCGGTATACCAGGCGCGGCTCGGAATTAGGTGATTTGGATATCGGGATCTTAGCTATAGATAGGCTTCTTTCGGATCGCTCGCTCAGCAGTTTCTACTCATAAATGCCTTGGGTCAGCGGTCATTGGTCACAGCCCACAATGAAAAGGCCGCGGATCATCCTCCCTCCAGTCTCTGTCCATCTCTCTTCTGTACCCCACTGACCGTCCAAGTGGTTCCTGCTATGCAGCTCCTGAACTGGTGGCCGTGGCCAAAGTCTGCGCTCTTTATCGTACTCTTGGTGGTGTATCTCGGCATTGTACAGGCCCTGAGGTGGAGACGTTACCATGAAGTCCACAAGAAATATGGACCAAGAATCTCGTCGCTCACACCGGCGGAAGCGCAGCAGATCATTCATTTATCGTCCCAATGGGATATGCCTGCGCTTGTGACGATCGCACTCTCATTTGCGCTGTTCAAAACTTATGCTATCGTGAGTCGCTCTGCACTATGAGCCCCTTTAAGGTGCACCCAAGCTGACGTTGTGATACAGCCTACCATCTCCGGCCTCCTCTCCAAAACACGGCAGCTGGGCGCCAGAGAGAACGTCTCTAGGCGTTACGCAGACGTACGCCCTCTTTTACGACCCCCCCTGACGACTAACCCTTAATACCAATATCGGGAGTAGACCGAGATCCTCATAAGTGAGCGTCATTAGTCCCTCGAGCGGCAGCGGGCAACCCTATCTGACAATCTTCTCCCAAGCCACCTGGGTGACATGTCCGATATCGGGCAAGTTTGATTTCGATCCGCGGGCTGCGTCAGGCTCCAAGCGTGGCGAAGAGGAAGAGTTTGATCCTCGGTGTGCCATCGCGATAGCCAGGACCAACTGGCTACATGGCAAATATGACATAGTATGTTTGAATTTATCACGTCACGGCCAACCACCAACCATAACCTAAACTGACCGCGTCGAAACATAACGCAGAGCAACGATGACTATCTATATACTCTGTCACTTTTTATCCTGGAACCAATTGTAAGCGCAGTTGAGACTAGTACTTTTTAGCTGACTTCTTATGACTTTTTGAACATTGCATAGAAATGGATGAAGCGGTACGGATGGCGGGAGCTCTCCGAGCTGGAGAAGCAAGTACGCTCTGTTCGTTCTATCGTGTTGGTCTCCCGGAATAACCTCTAGCCAGGCATACTTTGTGTTTTGGATCGAAGTCGGCAGGCGGATGAACATAACCGACATCCCACAAACGCTCGGAGATCTAGAACGGTGGAGTGCGGTGCGCCGTTTGTCAGATGGTCTGGCAAGAACGTTGCTAATGGCCGAGACAGAATTACGAGGAAGGCTACATGATACCCGCTCAGACAAATCATCACGTTGCTCAGTTGACGGTAGACGAATTCCTCTGGTTTGCGCCCGAGAAGTTTGGTATCAAAGATTTCCTCCAACGCATCGTGATTTGCATGCTCGAAGACCGCGTGCGTATAGCTATGATGTTGGTCATTTCTTAAGTCTCTTCTCTTTCGAGGATGATGCTGAAGCAGTCCATGCATCTTTAGGTATAAGGAGCAACCCTGGTCTCTCCACGCCATCGCAAGGGGTCTTACAGGAGGCTTTGCTTTTTTCCAGCGCTATTGCCTGCTACCACGTCGATCTCCTTCACTGTTTGTTAAGGACGACACTCCTAAGCATTCGCCTGACTCTGCTCCACGGATGCATCCGACGAGGTGGGGACATTCCGTGGGTACCGTGTGGGTGTCACACTCATGTTTCTGTCGACAGGTACGCGCGAAGACCGTGGTATAAGCCTAAGCCAACGAGCTTGGGTACATTTATCGAACGATTCACTGTCGCAGTCGGTCTAGTGGATGCCGAGAATGTAGCATCGCCGAGAAATAAGTGCGAAGGTTTCCGACTTGAAGAAATCGTGCGTACATTTGTTGCGGTCCAGTCCTCTCACTTAACAGTCACTATCAATAGGGCCCCGAAAGCTTTGAGAAGTGTGCGTGACTTACGCCTTCTTCGTTTCTCTTTCAGTCCACTGAAGGACCCGTATATCAGCGGGCCATGAGGAGACTATGCGGATAGCTGGAGAATTACAGGGGTGTCCCGTGAGAGGGCCTTGGTCTCTTAATCCGCACAAGCTGCATCGTCAATAGCTGCCATGTTACCATTGGGCTGCGAGGGTGCTGCGCCTCGCATGATCCACATATCTAATCATCTCGTTCACATCAGCGCCTACTACTCATGGGTATCCTACATGTTGGTAACGTATCTCCCTGTGACCCAAGGATATTTGTAGAATATTTGTATCACTGGTCAAGTCAAGGCACAATGTCTATGGTACTGAGTAGAGAAGATCAATGAGGTCAAAGCAATCGCCCTCGCTCATGGTCTGTTAACGGGAAACGGAGTGAAGTATCTCTGGCTGATTGGAACTCATATTATCTTTATACGCCATGCAAGTCTGGGAGAACGTAGTGCTGGGGTTGGTCGCTTCCAAGCTAGGAATGCTACAGGGTTGACAACTACTCTCCTCGCTTACTCTTCTTAATCGAAGGTCCCGCTTCGTCTTCATCGGAATCAGACTGACGACGGAGTCATGCCCCAGAAAGTTCGAATATCTGACAGGAGTCTCACCTTCATCCGTTTGCTCCTCGGCTGAATCTGTGGGCTGCTTTCGTACGCCTGGGATCCCGGTTTCTATATGATGTATTAATATAGGAAAAGGGCGCGATCACGCTACGACTCACCTGTTTGGGGGATCTTCCTCTCTTACGCTTCTCTACAGCCTGGGCCGGTGGGACTGCAGCTGTATCATGTTTCTTACTCTTGGAGCCCTTCGGTCGGCCTCTGCCGCGCTTAACTGATTGGGATAGTGTCGTAGGCTCTTCTGATGCTGTGAAAGGTCTCTGTCCTTCCTCAAAGGGCCAGGTGAATGTCAAGACCATAGGTGGATTTTTTTTCAGCATCGCTGGGTCTGGCTGGCGACCACCAGGAGGTCCGACTGCCTGAGTGTGAGTGCCGTCCGGCTCGGATCTAACGGATCTTGGCGATGTAGAAGGGGTCATCTCTCTATGAGCAGACTCAAGCCAACCATTGGTGAGAGTACTCCTTGGAGTAACGAATCCGTCTGCAAGGTCCTGTTTCTATGATTCGTTGAATTCAATCGGATTGGGCTCACAACCAGCCTCCTCATCAATAGACAGGGATGGCTGTCTACTTGCTAAGACGGATGCGATCTCATCATAGTCAGCATAGTGAAAGATAAGTAATGATTCGTCGTATTTCCCTTGTGGAAGATGCCAAGGACAGTACCTGTATAAAGTGCATGAGGTCTTCGTCATAAGCAATAGCAAGCTCTACTCGTGGGTCCTAAGGGAAGTGAACTCTGGCATGCAAATATCCACTGATAGACTCTCACCTCCAGAATGTAGTCTAATACTAGACTGAGCAAGTTGAAGGGCTAACTGGTAGTGATAAGGGATACGGATAGCATGTCTGGACAGCACTGACCTCTGTTTCTTCTGGTACATTCTGGACGTTCAACGTGTCATAGCGGGCAGAAAGAGAGGTTGTCGAAGAAGACTGGGCAAGCACACCATTCTCCCGAAATTCCTTCTCTGTAGGTCCAAGGTCATCAGGACCTGCCGCTGCTATGATCCTGAGAGGCCACGGTCGTCTGTCCTTGACCCGGAATCCCCTAATAAAGACACACTGAATCATAGGCAAGATCTGAGTCACAAGACAGCTCGGGTAACTGGGAGTGTGGGCCTCGGTGCTGCATACTCCTCTCTGGACCCCAGTTACGAAGTACTCCGGGTTCTGTCCTCCAGCCACCCTCCAACGAAAACGACGCAGAGACAATTCCAGGAGCGAATGCGCCTATCCCTGCCCCGACCTTGACATGACCGCTTGAAAATGCCGTGACTGCCCAGTGCGTCGTCTTATCGTACCCAGTAACAAAGAAGACGTCGGTAAGGGTGATTTCGAAGCCGCATTGCTCATTTGCGAATCTTAGCGAGTCGCGGCAGTTATGGAGCATGTGCTCGCGGAAAGAACCCAATTTGAAGGTATCCGTCCTCTGGGCTCGGTTCAACAAAATGAGTGTTGCACCTTCCTCTTCAGAAAAGGAGAGCTTCAGGCCGCTTTCTGGCATGATTATCTGATTCCTACGAAAGTTGGAAAGCATTTTTTCTCATAAGGACAGTAACAAGGACTTACCCACTTATCTGCAAGTCCGCAGAGACCACTCAAACAGTCCTAGATGGATAGGTTCCAGATGGTAAGGGAGACCTACCAAGGAACAGTAACGGACCACTCGGGATAGCGAGCGGTCTGAAGTCCCCAGGAACACCGTGCGCTTCGTGCGACGGATCATCCGCAGGAAGCAGAGCATTGAGAAGACGGACGAAAACGTCCTGACGAAGGAATCCCACATCCCCAACAGCCACACCACAATTGGGGTCATTGACATCAGGCTCCCAGAGCGCATGCCCATGCCGGAGATTAGCAAGCTGCCTTGCATAGATATCCCAACAAGCTGAGGGAGGAGCCATATGTCCTGGATCCAAGAGTAGGGTAGGGGAGTAGGGGAGAGGGGAAGAGACTGAGGAGATCAAAGCTATTATAACTGAAAGCTATAACCTGTGAACAGCCGGTACTTGCTGTGCTTGTTAGTATAATTAGCTGCACCACCTCGACCGTCAGTGATTGAGTGATGGCCATTGACTGGAAAGCACCCGCTGCGGCTCTTCTCGCACGCAGCCCCGCTGAGAAGGACAGAAGTCCGCTAATTGCTGCAAGTACAAGTAACCTTAAAGATGCGGCAAAAGAAGTACTAGAATCATACCCACCGAACTGAGCTGTGGCATTATCATGTCTCTGAGTCCGGATGGAAAGTTGGTCTCCGAATCTGGAGCACACATTATTAATTCCATCCCGCACGTAGCGGTTGCCATTCGCTGATATTGCTGTTTCCCGATGTGCCTGCAATGGCGGTACGACAGGTTGGTCGTGAGCCAAGCAGCGCACTGGCAGGGGTGGAACGGTGCAAGAGCGGTGCAGTCCCGGCCAGAGCACCTAAGTAATTCCAAAAGGACCGAAGAAAGTCCACCATGGACCACCGCCGAGTCTGCCGAAGACGCCAGACCAACTCGGCCCGGCCCCGACTCCCCTCCCCCACAATGGATTAAGTACGTACCTATTGGGTCACACACCCATGGAATCCTTCTGCTCCTTCGATGGTGTCGTAAATAGTGCACACCCATAGTAATCGACGGTCCCTTCAAGCTTCCACTCACTCCAGCCTAAGCTGAGCCTGCCAGTGAACTGGACATGCCTGCAGATAAAGGTTTCACGGTATACTCTCCAGATGGCTCGGATTACGACGTCCCTGCGTCTGAGCAAGAGCGAGCTGCGTTCATACCAGCCCCGGAGGCTGCGTCACGGCGCCCCGCACCCAAGTCCCAGAGAGGGACCATTCGATGTCCTCGAGTGTTGAAGCCAGCAGTCTTGCTATGCAGGAGATTCATGGAGAACAACGCGGGGCTGCTGCTGATCGCATCTGCGCAGCTGTTCTTCGCCCTCATGAATGTGGCCGTTAAGATGTTGAATAGCCTGGACGAGCCTGTGCCTACGCTTGAGGTGAGTGGTGGAGACCAAACGTTGTCCATGTGTCATTGCTGAAGCGACTTAACAGCTTGTATTCGTCAGAATGGTACGTATTCGAAGTCACTTGTTACGCCGCAAACGTTGAACTTGGTATTCGTAGCTTATCACGTACATGTGTTGTATCACTTACATGTATGTCGCACTCTTTTTGGAGACTGAGGTTATGCTCATCTATCTTATCTCAAGGCTCGTAATGGGAGTGCCAGATCCATGGCTCGGACCCAAGGGCGTCCGATTACTTCTGGTAACTCGAGGCTTCTCTGGGTATGTGATATGCACCCCAGTGAGCCACCTGCGGAGGCTGACTCGTCTCTCAAGTTTCTTCGGCTTATTCGGAGTCTACTTCTCCCTCAACTATCTTTCTTTGTCTGACACGACCGTACTCACTTTCCTCGGCCCCTTGACCACCGCTGCCGCGGGAGCGCTGATACTAAAGGAGAAGTTCACCTTGAGAGAAGGCATCGCCGGGCGTAAGTGGATTACTGCTGTCTGTTATCATTCCTAATCCGCGGCATCGTGTACTTGCCAGTTTTCAGCTTGCTAGGCGTCGTTCTCATCGCGAGACCACGATTTCTATTCGGCAGTGCACCGCAGGCCCCTGACTATGGACATGTCCTCGAAGGGGGGCACGGTGACCCCTACGAGCGGGGGACGCCAACGGAACGCGTTATGGCGGTCGGGTGAGTTAACTCGTGCGTTAGCCTCCATCCACAGCTTATAAATGTCTTAGGCTCTCGCTACTCGGCGTCCTCGGAGGGACTGGCGCAGGTATTACTACTGCAAACTCAGGAGCGTGAATTGGACTGACGGGTTGCAGCGCTCTGCATACGTAAAATCGGGAGACGCGCGCATGCTGTGCACTCGCTCACGTCTTTCTCCATATACTGCGTCGTGGCCTCAGGTCTAGCGTAAGTCTCTCCTACCTTTCATCAATCTGACGAGATCTGAACCAGCTATGATAGGATGTTGTGGCAGCGCCCGCACCTCGTCTTCCCCACTCGCCCAGAGTGGATTCTGATGCTTCTCTTCATCGGAGTAGTTGGCTTCGTCGCTCAGGTACGCTACGTCCCGCCCCATCCCCCCAGTAGGATTGGCTGCTAATCCGACGGTATATTGTGTGACAGACGATGGTAACCCTGGGTTTACAGCGTGAAACTGTCTCGCGTGGATCGATGGGTAACTACGTCCAGGTACATCTGTCCTTCCCGTTATCCTGCGCTGAGTGCTGATGTGATTGCTAGATTATATTCGCTACCGCTTTCGAGCGCTTCTTCTTCCACACAACCCCGTCCGCGCTCTCGATCTTCGGTACACTGATCATCATGACCTCTGCCATCTACGTCGCAGTACGTCTCAACCTATACTTTGTTTTCTCCTTTTACTTCTCATTAATACGACGTGCAGCTGACCAAAGAGAATACGAATATCCCCGCGCACCGCGGTGTTGGCCTGAACAATGGCGAAGCCACTCTGGAAGAAGGTTTGTTACGCAGCGCGGATTATGATGAGCATGACGAGCATGAATTGAAGGAGCGGCACGAGGTGGGTGAGTACAAGGAGGGTAAGGCGGAGAGTTGATGGCTGGGATAGTCGTGATTTTTCAGTGCAAATGTTAAAAGTGGGACTTAGAGTCCCGTCCAGAACGACGTTCAGTTGCTTATACTGGGGTATTGGTGTTTCACTGCTAAAATAGACAAAACTCCTGTGAGTGCGTGCATAGATAGGTGTAGAATAGATGTTGTATTTCGTTTTGATACGCATGTGTAGCCCCTATTGGCAGTCTTAGACATTCATTTTCGGTTCTTGTACGTCGCTGTTGTAGCCACTGCGGGGCATGGGATGCAACATCCGTACGCTGTGGGGTCTTGTCGGGGAAGAACAATGGAAGGCCAAGGGTCGCCAAAGAATGCGGGGAGAGCTGCTGCGGTGCGCAGAATAGAAGTAGGGCCAGGACGGAAGCATACAGGAGCATCATGGGATAGATATATGGGGTAAACTCGAGACAGAGCATCTTGAAGTGAATTCGAAGCCGCTGCCACACAGACCGCAGGACCACGCAGGACTTCTTCCTTCAAGGGCACCTCGCTCGAGACGCACTGCGGTGGGGCGAGATTGACAGTAACAATGATCGGGAGTCGAGTTCCTCTTCCACTCTCATTTACCGGAGCTTGAGCTCATGCATTCCAGGGACCTCGTTCTGGGAATACGTTAGCATCAATGGAGGATAAAACGCCGGGAGGTGCACCCAATGTGCACCGGTGAAGCTTTGGCTGGCTGCGGAATCCGAATTTCACGCATCGGGCACAGCCACTTCATGACCGGCAAACTGCGACGGGTTAACCTTCGTTCGACCCTGGCAGTGCTACGTCGTGGTTGTATGAAAGCCTCGAGGCGTCCCTTTGTGATTGATTCGTCTGGAAACAGTAAGGGTTGCTGCGGACGGGGGGGATAGAAATGTGAATGCAATGCAAGACCGGCGCAAGCAAGAGCCGCAGCCGGTAATATAACCTTTGTGGCACGGACCTTCATGATAATTAGGAAATTGAGTGCCAGGATGTCGTGGCAGGGAACTGTTCTTGGCGTCCCTTGGGGTTATACTGCATTATACCCAATGGCGGGTATACCTGCGAAGTGCCATAGTGCATTCCGGCTGCCTGCGCATTGAGTAGGCGTCTTCAAACCTTGGAATTGTCACCATATACAGCTGGAGGCATCGCCGGGGAAAAGATTGAGGACAGTAATATCCGCACTCGACGCCGAATAATGTACACCTGTATCGCGGCAAGATGACACTGTTAGATATTTTGATTAATTTTGCACCTCACACTCGTATACTCACCAACACGCGTTCCTCTTTTTCGTAATGCCGGGAAGTGGGTAAACCGGGTAACAGAGTTTAGATCAAGACGCAGAGGTTCTACTGCTTCAAAGAAGCGGAATGAGCGGGGAAATGAATGATCGATATGCAGTGACAGAGTACGAAAACCTGAGGAATGTGTGGTACCGTCTAGCGAACCGTAGCGGGCGATCTCTGAAGTAGGGGACGACCAGTGCCCCCGTGGGAGCCTTGTCACAACGTCGATGTAAATGACTAGACGTATTATTTTCCCTCGAAGATGTCGATCGTCAGACACCGACCATTGACTGAGATATCAGCTATCAAGTCACTTTAATCGACACTGCTGTCTGAAGCGCGCTGTAAGTTCACCTTCATGTTAGGAACTCGGGCCTCTCACCTGCTCGTTCCGTGTCTCGAGATGAATGTCACTCAGGCTCTTCTTCCTGATGCACTTCTATTTTTGCGGGCCCTTCAACTGACAACTCAACTTAGCTTTAGTAGGCTATAGCCTTTCAATAGAATGATGTTCTTTTTGCCGTGGATTTCACTGGTGCTTGAATAGCCGGGATTCGGGAAGCTTATGTGCATCAACGCTCTCCGCAGGTCACACCAGAGAATGTCTACGTAGCCACTCACCGAGCACAACACAGAATTTTGTGACGCCAAGATGAGCGCAAGAAGTGAGACGACAGCGTAGGTATGCTTTTCGCTGCTACGATGGCCATGCGACATGCTCTGGTCGGAGCTGGCTGCGTGTCCTAAGCTCCTTCATGACCTAGGGTTCGAGCGGTTAGTATTACCGTGATTTACCCTCGAGATAATCTCATTCATTCGCCTTGCGGATCGCTTGCCTGCTGTATAGCGTGAAAAAGCATCACTGCAGGGCCCTAAAGCACACGAATTACCTAAATGAGGCAACCGGGTTCCCTAAGCGAAGCCGTGGGAACGTGCGAATTGTGGCGACGTGTTGACCTACACCGAAGTGGTAGTGACGAACGCCGAAACAACTCAACTTTCGGCGTCGGCCATACGTAGACTGAACGATGATGAAAAGAGGATGTCTTATGCTTTTGACTTCAACCAAGTACGTTACTATAATATCATGGACTATTCGATGGGTACGACACAGATCAGTTCCGAGCTTGACGCGGTCTCTGACTGTCGCTTATATCAACAGTATCAACCGTTTCCTCCGTATTGCCAGGGCCTAACAGGCCCGCCGGTCACAAGGGTATACTCGAGCTACCCACTGAAGTTCTCAAGCTAGTGTTTGAGGAGCTCGACGATTACCGGTATGCTATGGGCCTTGCCATCTCCAGCGGCCGGCTGCTTCACATCTGCGAGAGCAAAATCCACAGTCTTAATGATTGGGTACGCCAACGAACACTCCTGGTCTGGCAACAGACTAGTCTGGACTGGATGCGAGGGTGGCCAAGTCCCTTCCGGGATGTTCACGGAGGCCGAGGAACATGAGTATCGAATGTACCGATTGACAAGGGTATACGATGATGGGGGCAAGGTCAACTCCCATATCCTGGACCATTTGAATCCCCATGGTGGAGAATGGTATTACACTGGAGATATTGACCCGAACCTCAGATCAAACGAAGAAGACGGTGCCGAGCCAGGATCCGAGGAACGTCTCAAACTCTGGGCTTACAACAAGTTTGAAAGATACAACACCCACCGCCCTATGCTGTGTTGCGTACGTTCAGAATGCAGGTTCGTAGTAGACTGGACTCTTGCGTGCGCTATGACCGATGAACTGGACCTTCGCCGGTACCTTAAGGAGCGCCCTGTCATGTGTAATCTCACGAAGAATGAATACTTCGGATTTGACGCCATTCATGATTGCCTGGAAAGCGGACGGGACTCGCCATATTATCTAGGCTTCGGGGAGATGCTCCTCGTGACTGTCTCCAGGATCCCCGCAAGCTACTGCCTCGCTTGTCCGGGGCATGTGGGCTGGCCACCGTCTGCAACTTACCAATGAAAGATAAATGAGTGTTGCAGCAGATCAGTCGACCGCTTGGGTGGACGTCAGCCTGAAGATTGCCCGCGGCGTCATGAAGCTTCGATTCCTAGGACTGCTGCCTTGCGACTAGTGGTGCGAACTAGTGGTTTGACGTAGGAGGGAAAGGGTAGCGGAGGCGACGTTCTGAAAGCAGTGTTGCTATGATCAATGGAAATGTCTTAACCTTTGTATATTTGAGAAATAGAAGCCGGAGTATAACTCGACACTGGTAGCTTTGCATACGTCTCGATAACAGGATCTATTGAGTGTAAGTACTCTTACATTGGCAGGCATTACCTTTCAAGCTTGAAGCAATATTGTTGAACCCGCCGGGATTGGTGAACCCCTAGCAGAGGCATTTAGGATCCCATTCCATCCGATCCTCTGTACTCCTCTTACTAGTACTACTATTACGGTCCATTTTTCTGCACTGGCCAAAAGAGGTAATACCTGTCCTTAAGCGAGGGCGTGGGAGTGCGAGGAAGCGCGGTCGAGTAACAGGTCAAACGTCAAGCCACAAACTTACGACGGCAAAGTCAACTTCTGGCACTTCACATTCGCATCAAGCTCACATTATAATGTCTTACTACAACCTGTAAGTGAGAAGTCACTGAATATATGACTGCCGCTGCCCATTCTAAGCGCACTTTGATGTGTGAACCATGTGCAGATTGAACATAGATAAAAGAGAAAGAGGCACCGCTGTCGACTATTACGACATACATGATCATGGTGTCGGGGAAAGTCTCTTAGATATTATGGATTTTCCCGTCTCATTCCGAGGGTATGGTGGCAACATGAATGCCATTCATCACGAACAACTCACTGACCGTCTCTTGCATCAACAGCCTTGAACGTCTCCTCCGCATCACCAAACCTAAGAGGCCTATAGGCCACAATGGTCTGTTCGGACTGCCAACAGAACTTCTCAAAGCCATTTTTGAGGAGTTGGACGATTATGAAGATGCCATCTGTCTCGGCATTTGCAACACCCTGCTGCTCCATATCGGTGAGGCCCAAATTCGCCATCTTATAACCTGCTATGTCAGGGAGATATCCTGGTCAGGGGATAGAATAGTTTGGAATGGATGCGACAGCGACCAGGTACCTCCCGGGATGTTCACAGAGGCAGAAGAACGCGAGTATCGGACCTTCAAATTGACCAAGGTGTACGACGATGGAGGCGATGTCAACTGGCATGTTCCGGAGCACTTAAACCCACATGACGGAGTATACTGTGATGCCGACGTTGACATGGACCTTCGATTGAGTGAAGAAGACGGGGCAGAGCCTGGGATAGAGGAACGTCTGTCTCTCTTCGCTGAAGATCGGTTCGACAACTACGGACTCCATCATCCTCGGCCTAATTTCTATTGTTGTGTCCGAGGAACGACACGCTGCAGAAACCAGACGGATCTGGCTCTCATAGACGACATTACCTCTGAATTGAACAAGCGCAGGTACATCAAAGAGTTGCCCGTGATGTGCAATCTCACCAAGAATGAATATTTTCGAGCCAGTGTGGTCCTTCGTCGCCTGAGGAGAAAGAAGATGAAGAAGTCCATCGGCTTCATGGAGGTCGTTCTGATTACTATTTGCTGGTCACCGGGATCGCGGCAAGCTAATGGTTCGCCTGTCTGGGGAATGTGGGCCGGTGACCGTCTTCAACTTACGAACGAGGAAGAAATCAAAAGTGTAACAGATGGGAATAGCAGATGGGAAGACGTTAGTGGAAAGGTTGCCGCTGGCGTCACGAAGCTGCGAGGTCTGCTACCTTGGGAGTATTAGAGGTCAGAGCTCGTCAGGATTACGCCGACGTATTACATATTATGCATAGGAAGAAGGAAGCTGGGCCATGGGGAGATGGTAAAGAGGTACCTTTTCAAATATCCAGAGGTGTATTCTCCTCGTAGATTTGAGAAATAATCGAATCAGTACAGAGTTCAGTCGATAGACGGTGGTCAAATCAATCGGCAGGTCGTCCTCAGCTTGACAAAGGCCGACCAATGGTGCACGAAGCTACCAAGAGTTCTATGCAATAGGAGGGGGCTGCAGCAACGCATTGGAGATCTCCCTGGAATATACGGACGCGAAGCCGATTTGCCTCTCCAAGACGCTTTCACCGAAAAAATACAGTAGATGATTCAGGGCTTACTCGATGAAGCCCCTCGACGTCCGGCCATTATACAACCTTTAATACCCTCGTTTATTGGCTGAGGCCGGTCATTGGGTACCCAGTAGTGCTACTACACGGTAAAAAGCCTCTCGATACTTGCTCGATACACCCGCACTTCGATCAGGACTGTCAGTGGGTGAAACCGGTCCAACTAATAATATGTCCTCTTCTGAATGAATAGGACGTGAAGTTCAAAAGCGGCTTACCAATACCAGGCCGCAAGTCCTGAGTCCGATCACGCAAGATCTGAATCGTGTGCTTTCCACTACCATACGACTTTGGACTCCGGCAAAAGAGACTGAGGATATCGTTGCCAAGGTCAGTAACGGGCCAGGGGCCATAAAATCCATACTTACGATGAGTGAACGAAGGTGAGGCCAAGCCCAAGCCCCATTCGATCGGTCTGTACTGAATTCACGGAGTCGTAATCAGCCCGCGAACCAATCACGGCTCCTGATCTGCTCAGCGGCATGGCGGAGTAACTATGGGCCGAATTGAATGCGGACATAGAACGACCAGACCAAACCAAACATCAAACCTATAGAGTGGTCTCGCCCATGTCCTCAGATGCTGGCGAACTCGTACATAGTCTCGAGTGTGATACGCTTGATCATAGTGCGAAGAGTATGGCAAAGATGCACTCGAAGTGTGTTAGTGAGATAAACGGATTTCACTCTACCATGTCTGTGGGGAGAACAACCATAACCCAGGTGTCCCCGACGACGGGGTCAGATTCAACGGCCACGTCAGCCTCCGCGGCAATTTCATTTCAATGGTATGGGGTTGGGCGCGCACCATACGCTCGAGGAGTCCCGATGCTTCTGGAGGGCGCTGGACACTTCAGCGCGGGGAGGTTCGGATTGGGAACGACATTAATTGAACCTCGAACTCCTACCGTACCAAGCCCAATGGAGCTAGGTCCTGATCTGACACTCGGAGCCGGGGGAAAGTAGGCACAAGTCCCGTATAGTAGCTGCACCCTTTCGTTCAGTGATGATTTGCTCCCAACGTCACCTACATGTGCAGATCTTCATCGGAATTCAGTAAATCTGTCTCGTTCGGGGGTGCCGCCACGCGCACTGATGACCACTTCGAGTCCTGGAACTACGTTAGACGCAGAACATGAAAGAACCAGGCTATAGTCGGCGTACGTGGGACCTACTTTGACGTGATCTTGTATGAATCCACACCAATCTATTCAGTCTTACCCAAGACGGCTCTCCCCATCCACGTTCGAACTCACTCTGCCGGTCTCGCCCGGAGTATTCGGGGAGTATGCCAGGCAGCCCGGCTCGGGGCTGAGTGTGACGTTCACGCGCTACGTGATCAGTTTAGATACCGCTCCAGAGGGACAACGCCGCCCAAACTAGACCTTAACAGGCAAACCGACGCGTCCGAAGCACGAGTCCCCCTGCGACGCGCAATTTTCCGCCAGAGCGGAATGGATAGTTGGGTGGTCACCGCTTCGTGAAATTTGACGGGTGATCGTGAATGGAAGAGAAGGACGTTACTGAGCGCAGCGTTGTATGCATTTCCGGGGCTCCGACGTGCAAGAAAGGTCAGGGAATGTAGAAACGGGGGACTTGCTGGATTCTTTAACGAGCAATGGCCATAGCGTTGCGACATTGCTGAGAGTCCGTCAAGGGACTCGGATTGAGGCGTCGGTCCGGGGATGCTGGGGGCCTGGTTATCCTCTCGCGACAGCATGGCACAGTGACGCTTCGATAGCCTTAACAGCGCACGAATTACCGGGGCTCCGGCGTGCATGAGGGCAGAGGAGGTGCATGGTAGCGGACAAAAGGGAATCACTGGATTTCTCAACGGCCACAGCATTAATAGCAGCGGCGTGGTTACTGAGAGCAGGTAGAGGCTCCAAGCAGGGATTCGGGCCGAGATATCAGGTCGAGGATGGGGGACGACACTTCCGTATTGCGACATTGCATCCCAGCGCGGTCGGTGAACGATTCAGTCGGACGCAACGGGATACATTGACGCAACATGCGGTACAGGCAAGTAAGTGTCCAGGAACGACGAGTCGCCGTAGCAGGGTGCATCATTACAAGATGTAAAGTGCCCAGACGAAATTATTCCTTGAAACGGATGTTTCGCTTGTTGACGTGCCGAGGTATAGCTGTCCCGTGTTATATCCATTTACCAGGAGCGTCTGAGCACGTACCGGTATCCAGGAATCACGGTATACCTTACCTTGCTACGGGTACGGGTACGGGTACGGGTATGCCAGGATCATACAGCCGAAACGACATCCATTCATTCTTCGTCTTCGTTAGAGCATTCAGCAGCTCGGCTGCCTTACCCGCCCAGCAGTGGAATTCCGAATTCCAGCGGACGAGGTACCCGGGAGGTGGAGGGTCAGCAGATTTCGCGAAGTGGTGTGTAGCGCAAAGAGCACGAGATCCGGTGGTGATGCACCTCCGAGTTGCGCTGCAGACCCTAAACTCCAAATGAAGCAAACGCACTCACAAGAATGAGTAGACCAGCGATGTCGTCGGAGAGCCTGCCTCTCGGGAGGCGGACGGAACGTCGAGCCTCCTGCTTGGTGCCACCAACACCTACACATGCATCGGGCACTGCAGATTATCTGATCCATCGGGGGGTCCACAGCCCTCTCAACACACCGGGTGGGTTCGGGTTAGTAATCGCTGGATAATCATCGCGGATGAGGGAATCGCGCGTATAGAGCAGTGTCGGGCCCCGCTCGCGGAAATGGGCGGCAATCTGCAGGGCGTCGCTGAGTCCGTGTGGCTGTGGAGGTTGACGGGCACGTTAGGCGTCTATGGCGAAACCTCGGGTGTACTGGGCGTAAGCAGTCAGGAAGACGATATCCAGACGCACCCGTGAGCTCTCTTCTCCGGAGAGGGCGTGGGGAACCCGGACGAGCTGGTCAGACCCCTAGAGGGAAGAGAGTAAGCCCCCGCATCTCCGCACCCTCGCGAAGGTGTCGTGCCAAGAATGCGGTCAGGTAAGGGTAGGTGATGGAGGAGTAGGAAGCCAATACATTGTCAGCTGTGGCATCAGTTGATGATAGTCTATAAATATGCAAGTCAGTCAGTGTACTATACTGAGTGCGTGCTAAATGCGTCCCGGGCTGAGCTTAGGCGCGCCTCCGTACTCACCGGGAGCCTGTAGGCTATAGGCAACGTTGGTGGGGGCGCTGTTCCAAAGTAAGCCTGATTGCCATGGCAAGTGGGGAACAAACCGCGACTAGGCTGATGTCGCAACATTGGCACTTGCACATGAAGAGCACATGCACCCGTACCCGCGAGCGTGTGGTGTATAGTTTATGCTGTACGTTCTGAACGATGCCGGCACTGGCGAAGTGTTAGAGCCAAACTCGCGCTGAAACATACCTTATGTTTGACGGACGTCAGGCTCTGGAGAGGGCTCCATTACCAAGTCGTTGGGGGTGGGGTTACGCTTGGCACGCCGCAAATTAGTGTTTATGGATAGAATCGAAACGCAAAATGTTCGTGGCGCTTACCATGTTTCTGCTCTGCAAATTCAATCCCTGAAACCGCTGTGAACACAGTCTAACTACCAGCGCAAGCGCAGAAGCACAAGAGCCACTTTCTCGGACCGTCATTGGCTGGGCGACGGATGAGCAGGGCGGCACGCAATTGGCCACCACTCGTCCGGCGGGAGGCCAATCAGCGTCGCCCGCCGCGGACGATCGACGCCCCAACGTCGCGCTGGGAAAACGATTCACGACGATCGCTGTAGTGCCACCCGCCATCGACTCTGACATGTTCGCGTGGCGGGCTAGGCCTCGGGGGCGAACTGGACAGATACAGTAAATGACTGGGGCTCACGGTTGTTTCGCCGTAATATGCTGCGGGTGCAGGCGGGAGGACATGGCAGGGCCGCAGCTGCAAGTGAGAGGGGCGGATAGTCCTTTTGTGTTAGTTCACTTTCGAATTCAGTATCGTCTTGCGACCACGATGTAAGTACGATTCGAGTATACCAGCCGCCGGCGGTTAGGTGGAGCTTGCTCGGATGGCGGTGGTGAGTGCGGAAGGCTTCGGAGGGGAAGAACAAGCTCGTGGCGGTCTTCGAGTACACGCCGCTCGCCACGTGCAGGGCCGCCCGCCCGAAGCCCGTCGTGCCCAGCGCCCGAACTTGGGGAGGAAGCACTCCTCGCGAACACTTCTTCGGATGAACGGTCCAGCATCCCTGCTCTCTAACAATACGACCCCTGCTCCCCCGCCTCGTTGCTGGACAGGAGGCGCGTATGCATATGCTGATGAGGCTCCGCGCCCCTCGGCAAGATCAAGATGGATATTCATGCTCTGATGCGACAAACTGCCAGAGCTAATCAGTAGCCCCTGTATCTAGCTGCGCTGTGGAGGTAATCTATTCACGACGAGTGGCCGTAGCTGAGTGGTGAAGCAAAGGAATGCAATGACCCGTTGATTAACACCCGCTCACATGGACGCCCTCCATTCTCCGTCTCCTCCTTCTCGGGACCCTTTCGCGAAGAAGGACAGGGTCCGCCTCATTACATGCAGTGATGGGTGTACATAGGCGTCCATATGCATCCATTCCCCAGGCGTAACGAGGCACGCCATTTGATCATAATGCCCCTGGCTCTCGTTATCCGATGACACGAGCACACAAGTGTAAATCAAGGTAAATCAGTGACGCTCGGTTCTCGGATAGCTGGTGGCACGAAGTCGTTAACGTTACACTGGCATCGAAGAGACCGGTTAAACGTGCTACAGGAGCCATGTATGCAGGCTGGATTGAAACATGAAGGACCTTACGACCTGGAACACATTTTCTGTCAAGCACTTCGCTACTGTAGTCTGGTTACAAGTCATTTGGCCCCAGCAGCATAAAGTACTACGAACACGATATATACTTGACCAGACCCTAGCCAGAGACTCACAGCACGACTATACGGCCAAGCATTTCCCGAAAGTACTGGCAACTGCGCCTCGCACTAGGATCGCTGAAACCCCATCGAGCCCAGTAAAGGCTAATTCAATGATGGGTTCTATCTTGTCACTCGATGTCAAAGAGACTCCACCGGGAATGGTCGACTTTACCTCGAATGGCATTGCCCGCCTTCGCTCTAGGTCCCCGCAGAGGAAGGGGCTCCCTTGATATGGTAGCGATGGCGTATATAGTCTACTGAATGCTAGAGACGGTGCAAGTCGGATTCATAGCTGGGCGTGCGAGACAAGAGAAGGCGCGGGCGCGCGAAGTACAACAGGAGCTGTGCAGCGTGGCCGAAGGCGCATGGAAGGTGCAGACGGCACGTAAACGCGAGGGTGCATCAAGGCCGGCGACGGTGTTCTTACTTTGCGGTAGTGCTCGACATAACATGACCAATGTCAAGTCAAGTAATTCGCGTTGGCTGACTGATGACCCAGATGAAAGAAGAGTCGGTACGTAGAAAGCTTCGTGGCCGCGCAGCGCGTCTGGAGCAGCGAGGCGGTGCATGTCACCGGTACCGCAGAGCAGCGACGACTCCCAGTCGAGATTCGCATTCGCAAGTGACGGATATAGCTCAAGGTCTAGAAGTAATCAAAGTCAAAGTCCCATACGATGTGCGATCAGGTCGTACGATCCTCATGCAAGGTGTACAACAAGGCTGTGCGCAAGCACTGCAGTTGCAGGCCGTGCTCGGGCTCGGAACGTTCATCCTGGCAGTCTCAAGTTGGCGCCGCTCGGGGTCGGCCGCTGAGGGCGGCAAAAGGGAGCGGATGGAGGAACCAAGGCAGGGGATGGCAGTTTACGTACGGCGCAATCGGGCAGGCTGTTTGGCGCTGTTTGTCCGGCTTTGGCGTGGTGATCGGGCCGAGTGGGGGGGATGAAGTAAGCGAGGGAAGCGCCGCCAGGGAGCCAATCAGGCGCGGGGTCTCTGCTCCGACCCGGCAAACACTAATAAGCGAAGGGGTCGTTCGGTTTCCTCCCATCTCTCGTATATAACCTTGCGCTGCGAGTCCCGACGCTTGTACAGATTCCGCCTTAGATCCATCACCCATCAGTCCTTTCCCGACGCTCCCCACGACGACCACGACCCCGACGACGTCCTCATCGGCGCCGCCTCTCATGACGACCACTGTAACCCAACCCATCGCTCTCCCTTCTCATCATGACCGAGACGTTTCCATGACCTCTGGCTCCTTTACTGGCACCAGCGGCTCGTTTAACCCTGCTTCATACACCCGACATCTCATAGGCTCGCCGCTATCGTTCCGCTCGGGGTCGTTTGGAAGCAGATTCTACCCTGGCGTATCACCAGGACAGTTATTAGGGCCACTAGAGTGAGTATTTATCCTGATCATGCGGCGGCTGTTGGGTGGCATAGATGGTACGGTGGAAGATGCATGTTTTAAGACCACACCGAGTGCGAAAGTATGCTCAGATGGCAGGGGCGGTCATGTGTGGCATCCCCAGTTATGTTCATGGCGCATACGCGCACTGGCCGAAGCTTATGTGGCGCATATATCCACTCCACTTGTGAGCGTTGGCTGCGGCCAACACTGCTTTGCCATTCCATCGCTGCACATGCGACTCATTTCGATATTGACTGACTCTTCACTCGCAGCCCTACCGATTTCAAATTCGGCAAAGTTTCTTCCTCAGTAGAGAGCGATCGCGGATCGATATTGAATGCCTTCACCATCCAGGATAGAGAGGATGAACTGGTGAGTCAACATTTCATGTGCACCGCTGGGCTGGTGCTTTTGGATATGTTCCGTGGCAGACGCATCATGGGGTATGCGTATACCCGCTGCGGCTGGGGAAAGGATGACTCGCTGTTGGCGGGTCCGGGTATACGCGTAGGGAGGGGTGGGCATGGTGGGACCGCGCCCTCATGACACCCGTACTGGCTGCGCGCACGGAGATGGACAGGAGTGGGGGTATTGCGGCCAGCGTGTTCCCGGGAGCTGCCAGGATGCCGACACGTACGCTCAATGGAGTATGCCGTGGGCTTCTTACGCTGCTCGGGATACCGCGTCCGGCAGTAGGTTCTCCTTCCCCACGGCGCGCACGTGGCATTCGAAGCTGTCTTCCAGCAGACGGATATAGCCCGGCGTATCCAAGAAGCACGTTTCACATCCATGCAGCTCTTCCCATGTATGTTACCCGGGTTTACATGCTTACTGATCCCGTTCTCGTATACAGTGCCGTAATTATACGTGTTGCGGGCTCAACCTGACCGACCTGCACGCGCTGCTAGAGCACTTTGAGGAATGCCACGTCGTGGTTGTCGACCCGTACCACCCCCAACCTCAGCTACAAGTGCAGACCTCGCAGAATAACCCGCCACAGAACGTAGACCTCACCACCGCCGTCGAGGCCGCCGCACAAAATGCGAATAACATGAACAACAACCAGTACGTCGTGCAGCCCGCGCCGGCAAGCACGATGCTGCAGATCCCGCAGGGCTACCACAACGGGCTGTTCGACCCGGACGATATGGAGATGGACATGGAGAACGCGAGCGCGCCGTCCAGCGGCGCGCCCTCCCCACCTGATACTCCGATTTCCACGCCGCTGTCGAGCTACCCCAGCCCGTCGATGGCCTCGAGCGGCCATGCGTTCCCGCACCCGCAGGTGTACTCGAGTCCGGCGTCCACGTCGAACTCCGCGTGTCCCTCGCCCATATCCGCGTTCGATACGACCACGGTCTTGTCGTCTCGCTCGTCGCTGCTCTCGGTCTCGACGTTCCCGGCGACGAGGGATATGTTAAATAATGGCTACAATGGGTACAATGGCGATGCGTTCTCTGCTTCTGGCATGGTCAGCGAAGGTGTCGACAGCGCTCCGCAGACGCCACTATCGCCCGAGAGCTGCGTGCCCCCTGCGCTCTTGTTCTCTGCTTCCAGCACTCCCGTGACGACTCCTAATGGCTCTCGCGTCAACTCTCCCGCTCCGAACTCCTACTTCCCGCAAGCATCCACCTCTGGCTCTTCGTCTCTAAACCCGAACAAGGCAAGCAGCTCTGCTGCCGCCCGCGCAAGCACCACGCTCTCACGCCCCTCGTCGTCGCTCTTGCTCTCGAAGCCGTTCAAGTGCCCGAAGCCCAACTGCAACAAGTCGTACAAGCAGGCGAACGGGTTGAAGTACCACATGACGCACGGCTCCTGTAGCTTCGGGCCGGCGAAGGAGCTCGGCGAGGTGCAGGCGGTGCTGAAGGAACGCGAGCGCGAGGGTTCGGAGGGCGAGCCGCTGACGGAGCGCGAGATGATGGAGATTGAGCGCGAGGCGGAACGCAGGCTCCGGCCGTTTGCTTGTGGGGTTGGGGACTGCCAGAGGCGGTACAAGAACATGAATGGACTGAGTACGTGCTGGTTGATTCCAAACCTGAGAGCTTCGCTCACCATACTTTATTAGGGTATCACTACCAGCACTCCGGCGATCATGGAGCGATTGGTCTGGCTCTTCTTGCGTCTGGCCAGCACGAGTGCCTACGGAACGCTCACGGCCGACGAGACGGCAGCCGTGACCGCAATGCGAACAACGCCGCGGCCCAACAGCAACGCCAGTCGCAGACTACGTTCCCTTCGAATCCTCAGCCTCAGACGTCGACGACGCAATACGCTCAGCAGCAGCAGCAGCAGCAACCGCAACAGCAAACGTTTGCGACGGCATACACTGTTCAGCCGACGCAGTCGCAGCAGCACCAGCCGCATCAGCAGCCGCAGCAGTGGTCGACGCCGATGATGGTGTACAACGTCCAAATGCAGCCGCAAGCGCAGCCGCAGCACCAAGGCTACTCGAGCTGATCGAACTCGCGTTCTGTTCCCGTCTCTCGCTGTCCTCCATTGTATCGCGATCCAGCCGATCCTCCACGACGGAGATGTGTATAAAAGTACGACATTGGTATATAATTGGGTTTTCTACCGCCGGGGTCACTTGCCTGCTTCCGACTTCGACTTCACCATCCGTCAACTTCGTCCTTATAGACTGCAACATCCTCGACTAATATACGGGAGGTCGTGGGGAGTGGCTGGATGTGTTGCGGGTCGTTGCGTGCGTCAAAAAGTATTTGCATATATAATCCTCTTGCTCTTTCCTTGTTTTCTTGTCCATGTTTGTTGCTTGCTCGTCTCTTTTCCTTCCCTCTAACCGACAAAATATCGTTTTACCAGGCATCAGTGCCACTTCCCATCTCACTCCGCTGCGGGTCTCTGGCTTGGTTTTCTGGACAGACTGTAATCATTATTAGTGTAATTTTCCTTGCTCTGCGTCATTGCTCTATTCTCGACGTCCTTCTCTCTCCACTTACGATATCGACTACGCACCACTAGTATATAGCTCCCTCCCCCTCATGACTTGGTATGACCCACTGTTATCAAAAGCCGGTGCTATGACCTGTTGTACATGTACACGCTTTTAGATAGCTGCTACGGTACATGTTGTACGATGTGGTCAATGACATAAAAAATAAGATAGAGTGGTATGCGTCGGCGCTTGTGTCCATCGCGTTGATTACGAGTCGTCACGTCAATGTTTGTGCGGTATTCCGAATTGCATGCATTCCCAGGTTCATACATTTGTCGGGACTGCCCATATGCTCCCCCTGCCCGAGCCCATGTCTCCTGCAGGGTTGACCCACCGTGGCCGAGCCTACCGTACCTTGCCCAGACTTTGCCACGACATACGCAGGACCCGGCCTGACATATCGCTATGTCAGATTCGCTGATATTGCTTGGGTACAGCAATTGATCGGCGTGAAGGATGGCCAGAACAGATTATCCAGCGGAGTGGCACTCAGGGCGACGAGAGGACGGTCCCATTGGACGACCTGTAGCCGAGAGGTCAATGCCGTTCTTTGTGGCCCTCCTGTGTAGAGATCGCTGACGCCGGCCCGGGGGAACATCATGGCACAGGATAATCTCGTCAGTCCCATTCACATGCATAGGTGGCTGCGACTCTTCCACCTGCGTGAGTTGTTCGCTTGTTGTACGTCCGAATCCTCACATGTACAAGGGTCCGTCTCCACGATCATAATCCTCAACTTCCGGCGACGTCGAGGCGCGCTCCTGCATCGATAGCCGCTGTCCCAATCTTCTCACAGCAATTTGGACTCTACTTGATGTAGATCTTGCTCTGAATATCCCTGGGGTATGTTCGGAGATGGCAGGTGTAAATCCGCCCCCAGAGCGTCTATCCGAGTCCTTGCGGAGGCGTGCATCAAGAGGCTGGGGCGAGTTAGCGTGGCATCGACCAGCGACCTCCGGTTCGCGGATCGAGAAATCCGAATGCATAGGCCTTCACTGAAAGACACTGATAAGCCGCTTCAGAACTCCTGTATCATCTCGACGGTCGATGAATATAAACGCTTATAACCAAAATCACCGGTCCGCAGCGACAGGGATTGCAGACATCCAATAGTTGTCTATCCTGGACTCCCACAGTTGCTCGTTACAGGCTAGAGCAAAATGTTGCAGAGGGTGCGATACTGATTTTCTATGAACTTGAGGACTCGGCCATGATTGCGTCCCGGTGACGCCATCTACACTGTTGACCCCATTGCCCTCAAATTTCCGCAACTTCATCTCATGTACCGGCGCTGCTCCTCAAGCGACCGTTCCTCTTACTTCGATTATCCTCGTATCTTGATGACACCATCGGCAACCGCTTGGCCGATGTCCACCCACTCGGTTGACCCACCCATCGCATTTTGCATTCCCTCCTCGTTTCTAAACTTTGAACGGTCTCCGATCCACATACCCCATACTGGGGCCATACAGCTGAGACATTGGATTTGATCAAGCGACGACGCACAGCACTGAATTCGAAGTGTTCGTTCTCGATGAGATTGCACATGACAGGCGACTCGTTGTTGTACTGACGGAAGTCGAATGCACAAGTGATGGAGAAAAACCGCTCGAAATCTGATCTGCATCTGCTGTTCTCGATTTATGTCCCATACGCATCTTCAGCAGAAAGCTGCAGGCGAGTCTCGGTCCCTGGCTCAGCTCCATATTCTTCTAGTCGCAAGTCCCCGATAATCACGGTCGTCCAGTAATTTCCATCAAGGGAGGTTAAGTGTGCATGGATGGTCAGACTGCTGCAGATGGCAAGACAGATGGTATCACGACGACCTTGTAACTCGTCGAACACCAGCATGAGGAGATGAGGGGGTAGCTTGAATATCTCCTGTGCTCAGTAGGCCTTCTAGGCTTGATAATACCTAGCAGTCGTTCAAGGCTGTTGGCACGAGCCACAGTTATGAGTTATGTTGTTTTTCGTAAGATAGACGCAACCCATATTCGGCTACTATGGTCACAGTGTGACACATCACGTGTTTTGGTTTCGCCCGTCTCGCGCGCGCAGAAAGTCGACCCCACTGGGAGGTCACACCGCCGAACGCGTTCGCGAACTGCAAATGCGAACGTGAGAACCACACCACGGTGCACGTGGGCGCGTGTCGATTCTGTGGCTCTGTCCACCGGCCACAGACGCGTACCCCTTCTGCTTATGATAAAATCTGCATAGCCTGATGGTTTTAACTTGTAAGTTTATTGTATCAGTCTGTGAGATTGAAATTGCTGGGTTATTGTAAAAAAAATGTGGTGAGTAATCGAAGCTGTCTGTCCAATTGGGGTCACACAAACCCATTGAAGCCCCTTCCGTGCCCTCCCCCTAACAGTTTCCATGGTCAATACTACTGGCATTGCATTGAAAATGTGATGGACAACTTGAAATTCATGGAAATTACTCTATTCACGTCATCAATATCCCTGGTATGGTACAATAATATGTGCATAACAAACTGTATTTTATGGATTGAAAGCATAGCCGCCATTGCCTTTCTCGCTCAATAACAGTTGCGGTGTGGCGATTCCCCAGGCTCAGGTGGCGTGGCATCCCCTCACGTGCCCAGACATTCGCCGAACACGTTCGCGAACGCGTTCGGCGGGCGAACCTCCCAGTCGCCTGGACGTTCTCCGCGCGCGCGGCGAAAATCACCCAAACGGAGTCAATGTTTAGGTATCTTATTCCACACTAGGCCTTAAAATACAATTCTTCTTCGGACAAACCTTTTTAAGTATATGTCTCAAACTTTTCCCGGAAGCAGAACTGCAATAAGTACTTTACTGAAAGAGGAGATACAGAAACATTGCCAAAATGTCACGCTTTCCTAATGAACGTGACAAAAATAGTCACGTGATACTAGACGAGTATGGGTTGCGTCTATCTTAATGGATGTGAGTGCCACACCCGTGTAATGTAATACAATAATCCATGAGTTTTATAAGGATTCCCCCCTCATACCGCATTCTCTCAAATTCAATGGCATAGTCGGCTTTCTGCCTTTTATCCATGTTCAATCTGTGGAGGAGCCGGAGCAAATTGGTGCACTTCGACGGCGCTCACGACTGACGCCAGTCATTTTTGTACTTACAACGTAAGACACATCCTAGCAACGGCTAGGTATATCTGTGCGCCCAAGTATGAATATCTGAGTTGAGTTGACGGTCAGCAAGCAAAGCGTGGCTGGGTGGTAATCGAAATGACGTGTCGAGTTAAGACGAAGCGGTCAAGCGGTAAGTCTTCGTACCCTCATGTCAGTCTTCTTGTCACTACGCACAAGGCAAAGTCGTGCCAGCCCTAAGGCGGGCAAGTAACAAGTGAAGATCGTTTCAGTAGGCAGCAAGCAATGCGGATTATGTGCTGTTATGCATTCTTGATTGCGTCCTGTACTCGTATCGAGCGCAGCAACCAACAAGAATTGCTCAGCTTCTCGTCTAGTTTTATAATTGGGTGAAATGAGCGAACACGGTTCAGGAACGTATAAGTAGAAAAACCACTCACTTTTACTATGCCAATTTGGTGCAAGTCATTTTCCAGTCTCTCAAGATCGACCTCAGCACCCTCGACAGCACTCCAGAAATTCTTCCACACCAATGGAGGATCTTCGAGAGCGAACAGGTGATTGATGGCGGGAGATACAACCTGCCCAACGTTCTTCATGTATTCTATAGCATCTTCGAGGTCAGCAACATCGTTCACGAGCCTCGCTTGACGAGCGCTGCGGTTCTGGCGTGCGATAGCACATATCTTGAACACGATCATTGGGGGAACCGTGGAAATCCTTGCCCCGTTAACTTCTGAAAAGCTACCCGATAGAAGAGGGAGCGCGCTTTCTTGAATATCAACTTTCATATTCTCGGTCGGAGGTAGACCTTCGAAGGACTTCCAGAAAGACCATTTCGTCCGCGCAGCTTTCTTAGCTTCATCTCCGTAAATTATCACTTTCTCGGCTCTCTCTGCAACTAATCGTCTTTGCAGACCGGCCTGAAGGGCATGAGAAGTAGACCTAGCGATATGCACGTCGACGTCCTGTAAAGGGCTAAGCTACGCAGGCCCGACACATCATGATGTATGCATTACTGTACGTACATTGGTTCGTCTACGAATAACTTCTCGAATATTGAGCGAGGCTGCTCCAATCACAACGTATGGAACATCGGACTCCTTCGCAACCTCTGCAATGAACTTTACGGTGGCTAGAATTTTAGCTTGATAATTCAGACTCATGTGCGCCCCTTCGAATTCACAATGGCGCTGAACGTGACGTATTCACTTGAGAGTGACGTGACTGCACTTCTGAAACTTCGAGTCCCACGGTGGACCATTGGTAGCCTGTCTGAGCTCCTTACTCCGCATGCAAGTAGATACTATGATTTCCGTTTACCGAGCTCGGTGCGGTCTCACAGTCTTACGGCGTTCTCCAGAAATTGACAGCCATAGTTGATTGCAGCACTGCTTAAAGTCAAGCGTCGCGATCAGTACTAGTCATGAGCGAGTACTGGGACCACCACCCGCCATCCCCGGAATCGCAATATACACGGCTGGAGCCACTTAAGCAGCTGGCCTCACGAAACATTCCGTGTATCCTTTGGGGAGAAGACGTCTTGAACTTTGCATATGGTGTTCCGACGTCTCTTTTTGATCAACAGATAATAGTCCCAGACGCGCTGCTACAGTCGGCCTCCGCCGTGGTGCGCGAAGGGCCTTATACTCCTACAGTACCCGCTTGGGATTACGTGGAAAAAGATGGTCCACGCAAAGGCACTTCGCCATTCCCGGAGGCTATCCGACTCAAGCATTCAGACGTCCCAGACGATGGCGACTCTCATCTTGGGTGGACACCTGAACATATACTCCTCCTACCCCAATCCTACTTTGGACTGGATTTCCAGTCAAGTGAACGGTTTAAACTTCTGCCAATACCCCTCGACAGATTCAATCCCGGCATATTAATTCCAAACTACAACACCTTTTTAGAGGGCTTGGTCTACTTTATCATGAACCCACCCACAGGCTGGGACAACCCGCACCGCAGAGGCAAAATGAAGCACGATATCTTGATTGGATATCTGATCGAATGGAGAGTCAGGTATGACTTCGACGACGTGGATGCACCTCCGCCGAAACGAGAATTGCTGCCGGAGGAAGAGAAGATCCTCAGCGAGCTTACGACAGACGAGGCCCGCTGGTATATCAACTTCAGCTTCTGGGAAAGGCGCTTCCCCAAGTTTGACGACATCAGGGAATACCGAGGAGGTGTATCGTGAGTGTAATAGGTCTCGCAGCGGAAGCGGTCGCTTTGAGTTCGCACAGACGTTCTTCCTCAGGGACAGTTCTACCTAGGCTGAAACAAATTATGCATGTCCCAAGAGCTACGCCTGGTATCTCTAGGTAGGTTCCGTCATCATGTATTGTCTTTGACAGTTCTAAATGTGATTTCGATTCCCAGATCGTTTTCTACGCGAGCCTCGACAAACCCTCCCGGCTCTTCGCATACCGACAAATGGATGCTACGTATACTGTATCTGCGAGCAGGCGGCGATCACAGCTACGCAAGAGGCGCTATGGACTTCGGTATGGCGACGACCCGACTACTCCGACGGGTTCTGCCATGAGTCTGCCCGATTTACATCCATAGTTGTCGTGCGCCTCTGAAGGTGCGGAACCTCCAGATGTACTGGAATAGAAGCTGAGCTTAGAGTCATTTAGTGGGGATAGCAGGCTCTGTCCGTGCGGAGAACTCAAAGGAGGCGAGCGGGCAAACCTTCTGTTTTCCTTTATTTCAGTCGGCCAATTAGCAATGCGGATTTCTGACTGTTCCTACCCCGCCACCAACGACTTATAACAGATCAGTTAGCTCAGGAAGATAATAGGATAGGCCACAATATCAGCTGGGTTCACCGTCCGCTTCTCTCAATCGTTGAGGCCGATGTCTAGCTTTTGTGTAGCGGTTGCCGCAACGCTACTCCAAGTTTCGACGAGCTAGCGCCCCGGGTAGAGAACTTTCAGGCACAGCAGCAGGAGCTACAACTTTTTTAATTTGTTAGGCCCAATTTGTCCGGCGGAGAATCACTATCGACAGTGAAGGGGAAATCCGAGGTCTTTTGATTATTATTCACTCTACTAGTGCTGCTTGCGAAAGCTCCGAATCGCGATGCAGGAAAGTAAGTCCAAGGAGAAGGACGAGTACGCGTAACGTGACTAGGGGCCACCGCTACTGACATTGGGAGGCAAGCTACAAGTCAGCAACGTTACAGATTGCCACAAATACGACGAACGAATCAAGCGGCTCCTTTCCAAGTAAATGCGTCCTTCGCGTTATATTGCTTTCATCCTAAGAATACATTGCGATATATTACTTCCCATTTTTTCACGAACCTCCAATATGCTGACCGCCTACAACGCCCGCCATCAGCATTTACCCAGAAATCTCCGGAAAACATTTGCCACTCACTGTTGATATGTAGCACTGCGCCCGTCATCGCATTCGAGTCCGAGCTCGCAAGGAATACATATGCAGGACCCAATTCCGCCGGCTGCGCCGCGCGATTATGCAACGGCAAGCCCACACCGAGGCCCTCCATGTCCTCCGCGTCCCTGCTCGCCGCCTGCAGCGCCGTGACAACGGGCCCCGGCGCGATCGCGTTCACCCTAATGCCCTTGGGCGCGAGCTGCACGGCGAGCGAGCGCGTGAAGGTGACGATCGCGCCCTTGGTGGAGGAGTAGTCGACGAGGGATGCGGAGCCTTTGTACGCGGTGACGGAGGTCGTATTAATGATGCTGCTACCGCGCTTCATGTGCGGGAGCGCGTATTTGGTGACGGCGAACATTTGGAGGATGTTGGAGTTGAAAGTGCTCTTCACCTTCTCAAGGTCGATTTCCTCGAAATTCTTGGTCAAGCTAGATCATTTTGCCAAATGGTCAGACTCCGATCACTACGACACGCTGCATGAGAAACTTACATCTGCTTCGACGCGTTGTTCACCAAGATGTTCAAGGTCCCAAAGACCCTGACGTGAGCGTCCACCACAGCCTTGCAATCCGCTTCTTCCATCAGGTTGCACGGCACAAGCAGACACTTCGCGCCCTCCTTCTCGAGGTCGATCTTCGCGGATTCGGCGTCCTCTTTTTCCTCGGGCAAGTGTGCAATCGTGATTCCCCGCGCACCCTCGCGGGCGAAGAGAATGACGGCAGAGCGCCCGATACCGCTGTCGGCCCCGGTGACGATCGCGGTTTTGCCTTTCAGCTTACCAGATCCGACATATTCGCGCAGGCTCGGTCGGCCTTCGTCGTCCCAGATCTCTTGTTTCGTATATTCGATTCCGGCTGTCCGCGCGCGTGAGTCGGACGTGCAACCTGAAGAATGAGATGGCGGTCACGTACGTTCGATATCCTTGTCCAGACCCGGCAGATTCTGCTCCTGCTTGGACGGCACAGCAATGTTCTTGTACGCGGTGATGATATCTTCGGACGACATGGCTATGAATAAGACTGGGATGTCTTAGCTCACTCCAGCACCAGTCTTATAGTCCTCTCTCCATCCGTCCCTTGACATCAGCCTTTACGCCGCTCCCTCTTTCGACGTCATAATGACCACCGCATCGCCGCGCCCTATAGCAGGTATTTGAACGACGATTCTGTGGATCATCCTCTTGAGTATTCAGGTAGCAGCATTTCTGGACTGGATTAACAGGCAGCATTCCCATGACGAGCGAATGTACTTAGGCGCAGCGGAATATGGATGACTGTCATGGGAGTCTACCATGACCGTGCGAAAGCCACTCTCACGTTTCAGTGTGGCACTTCCGCCACACTCAAGCCACATTCTGACATTGACCACGTCTCTCAAGTTCCGTTTGTTGCATTTGCCAGACTCCAGCTTATTACCCCCTCCTTAACATAAACTCTGTCTTCCTATGTTACCTGTAAAGGAACGAGACCGTCGGTATTGCGGCTCAAATTGGTTGAGCCAATATCCTCGCATCAATGCAACATGTTCAAGGGAACTACATTGATACTCGGTCGTGCACCTGCAGTAACAGATAAAATCAATAACGAACCCTAAATTTTGGCCTGCCCCGCTGCTTCTAAATCTAGACTTTGTCGTACTTGCTTTGATTTCTCGTCTCCTTCTTTTGGATAGACCTGGTCACTCGGCTCGGATCCAGTCAACAAACCTTCCTCTACCATACTCTCCCCAATAATCTCTAGTCTCACATGATTATTTCCCGCTGCTGACTTGGCACTTTCCTTCGTTAGCTGCGGGGATCATCAGCCTTGGACAAGATTGATGAGTCTGGACCTCTGGCTTACCGCGACGTAAATGGCCGACGTCATGATAATCACTGTCCCGACAATCGACAACGGAGCGGGTGTCGTGTGGAAAAATATACGCTCGAAAGCAATAGCATAGATAATCTTGATTATGCAAATCAGCCCGCGCTCGAAGACGGGATGTGAATGATTTACCTGAGTGTATACAGCCATGGTGCCTCTCCCGGCGGTCTCTCGTTGTAACCCATTGGTCATGAGAATCTGTCGCGTGTAAGAGGCTGGTTAAGTAAACACATTGTATGCGTTAATACCTGCCCTGTGAACCCCACGAAGCCGATGAACAGCAGAAGGCCAAGCCATTCGATACGCCGGGGGACTACGATATGTGTTCCTTTCACGATCAACCTGCGAAGTACCTCATTAGAGCTGGATACGCAAAGCTGTCAGTCAAATGACAGTCACCCGATGGAGGCTGCGACTACGCAGTATGCAGAAAACGCGACCATGGAATGCATCGCATGAGCACGCTTCCCTATCGCACGTATAGACGTGTCTGGCAAAAGGGGAGAGATCAAACCGGTGTAACCCTGCTTCAGAAGCGATCACCCACATGCACCGGTCGCCCCAAGTACCCCCAGGAGAGCGACACCCACAGCTCCCAATCTCTGTGCGGGTGTTCCTTTGGCAGACGGTTGAATGACATGCGCGCCGTCTATGACATGCCCCGAGTCTGGCGCCGCCATCTCGGCACCGAACAGAAACTCCGGCCTTGCTATGAGCACGACTCCGATGAAGCTGCATACTATCCCAGCACATATCAATTAGAGAGCTATTCGGGGTGACTCGAGCTGGGTTGCTCACCGCCTGCGAGGGCTTCTTTCAGCGTGAATTTCTCTTTGAGAAGGACTGCGCCCGCAATAGCGGTCGTGAAGGGCGATAAGAAGGTCAGAACTGTGGCGTCTGACAGCGATAAGTAATTCAAGGCATAGTATGTCCCGAACAGCCCGAAGAACCTAGGTGACCCATGAGAACGTATACTCAATGCTGCGACAACCGTCAGCGTACTAACCCGGAAAATCCCCGCAAAACAAGCAGACCTCGCACTCCCTTGGGCCCCAGAAACGGGTCAGGCACGCCTCTAAGGTGCCTGGACATAAATGGGCATTAGTGTTTATGGGTCAAGTGATGACAAGAGCAGCGTACATATATATTATGCAGCAAATCCATGTAAAGGACTTCAGTCCGTGGTCAGCGTGTACAATGACTTGTTGTTGATAGACTCACCATGCGGACTATAACAAGCTACATGCGATCGTGTGAGCAGCATTATATTCCATCTATAAGACAGAGCCCCACCTCTAATGTGGGTACGGGATCATCCAGGCTGTTCAAAGTCTTTACAGATACGTTCTGCAGGGCTCCGAATATTTGCGACGAAGCCACGAGCAGCAATCCAGTGTTCCTATCCACGAAGTCCTTGATTCCAGATACCGCGCGTCTCCATCGGGGAATCTTAGCATCTCCCACGTCCCCAGGTACATCCTCCTCATCTACGAGAGTCACGTCCTCGGAAGACGAGTAGGGCTTCGTTGGTTGAGACATAAAGACATTGCGACCTTCCATCCGGCAGCACCCAAGGAACGGTGCTGGATTGTACGTCGCAGAGGAGAAATAGAAGGGGGGCAGAAATGACGCATAATTAGGTACAACAGCGCTATATATTGCTCATTGGAAGTCATCATGGTCAACAGTTCCTTGATAAAGAGTTCGGCAAGTCGGCGCTTCTTATCCTATTGTTTCCCACGGCTATAGTGCGGTGTACAGTTCAACCTCGAGTGAGAGACCACCTGTGCGACTCAAATAATTGTCTGACTTTACGCACAGGAAACGGAAGAGAATCCGAGGTAACAAATATCTCAGCGGGGTGGCTTGTTATCCTCCGCTGGTTCCGCATCTTGTCCTTCCTCAGCCAGATCGCTCTCCTCCGAGTCGTCTAACAAACCCTCCTCCATCATGTCGTCCCCGACATCCTCTAGTCGTACCTGCTCATCCGTTGCCGCTGACTTCGTGCTTTCCTTCGTTAACTATAGAAAGGTTAGCATTCGATGAAGAGCAAGGGGTGAGAATGCTATGATATGACTTACAGCAACGTAAATCGCAGACATCATGATGATGGCCGTCCCGACAAACGACAGAGGAGCGGGTGTCGTATGAAAGAATATGCGCTGTAGTACAAGGGCATAGATAATCTTAACAATTTGCGTGAGTGGATACTATACCCGGCTCTGGAAGACGGATGCGCCACCTGCGTGTATACAGCCATGGTCCCTCGGCCCGCGGTCTCGCGTTGCAGTCCGTTGGTCAGAAAGATCTGTGGGCCTCAGCACATCTTTACGCGGTTACAGGGTTATTGAACATACTTGGCCTGCGTAGCCAAGGAAGCCGACTGACAGAAGAAGAGCGAACCAGTCGATACGTCGTGGGACCACGACGTGGGTTCCCCGTAATAGTAACCTACACAGCAACAATTATAGTCAGATGTGAATCTGTAAGAGCAGAGTGTTCCTAAGTATTCACCCGCCCAATGATGTGATAACGCAGTAAGCGGAAAATGTGACGATGGAATGCATAGCATGAGCGCGTTTCCCAATAGCTCGTATTGACGTGTCTAGCTCGCATGCCTTCGTAAGTGGAAAGGGAAAGTAAAGTATATAACGACTTACAAGCACCGGTAGAACCAAGGACGCCGATCAAGGCAACACTGACAGCTCCCAACCGTTGGGCGGGCGTTCCTTTGGCGAGCGGGTCACCAACGTGTCCGTCGTCAATAACATGCCCTGAGTCCGGCGCTGCTGAAGCACTACCGAACAGGAACGCGGGCCTCGCAATGAGTATGACCCCACCGAAGCTGCATACTGAGTGATGCACCATCGTAAGAGAGCAAGCCGGGATCAGTCGAGATACGTACGGCCAGCAAGTGCCTGCTTTAGTGTGAATTTCTCCTTGAGAAGCAGTGCTCCGGCGATGGCGGTGGTGAAAGGCGATAGGAAAGTCAATACCGTAGCATCCGACAGGGACAAATAGTTCAGGGAGTAGTAGGAGGCGAATATTCCGATGAATCTACGCCAATCAATAACCACGGATACCGTGCGCTGCGAGGTGTATGCACCGACTCCGAGAAGCCTCGTAAGAGGAGGAGGCCCCGCACTTCCTTGGGCCCCAAGAACGGATCCGGCACGCCTCTGAGAAGCCTGAAAAGTGATCATCAGCGTTGTCCATCCAGTATACGTAACCCAATCTTAATAACATACATATATGCTTCGCAGCCTATCCATATGATACCCTGCAGGAGTTTTCTGTGAGCGATGGCGACTCTTTCCAGCCTTAACGATTTTGTCCTACCATTCGCACCATCACCAGCTTACGCACCAAGCCATCAGTTCGATTTCGTGGGCATCACAGCAAGGATTACCTCTAATGTGGGGACTGGGTCCTCGAGACTGTTTAGCCTCTTCACCGACGCGTTCTGCAGTGCGAAGAAGAATTGAGACGACGCGACCATAAGCAGTCCCGTGTTCCTCTCCACGAAATCCTTGAAAGCTGGCGATATTCGTCTCCACAGAGGAGCCTTGCCATCGCTACGTTTTCGCTCGCCGACAACTGTATCCTCCGCGGGCAAGAACGCTACACCTTCCGCGGACGATACGGCTTTCGTTGGGTGAGTCGCAAATGCATGCCCGCCAGCCATCGCGCAGTGACCATGAAAGCGAAGGCGATGGCTTGCTGGAAAATTGATGCAGGAGAAAGCAAGAACGGTGCATACGTATACTGTGATTTGGCCACGGGGATGCTATAAATGCTGGGTGTCATCCTGCTGGTCAGGCTTCTTGATTGAAGTCGGGCGTCGGCAAGTCGGCAATTCGTATCGGGCAGATTCCCACGGTAAGAATGCGGGGTAGCTTGCCCTTGCATCGTCGACGCTACCTCATATTTATCCTCCACTTGTATACTCTATACCCTCTATAAGTCTATAGGCTCGCCGTTCATTTACCTCCGCTCGACTGTATGGCGACGGGTCTCTTTTCAAGAGCGACAGTCACAACCGTCGGTCTGACATGCAAAGCGTTCCTGAAGATTGGGTTCTGTTCTTCGGTTTCCGTCAATGGACTTGACATCCTTCTGGAAGCATTGCGGTCAGAAGAAAGGGAAAAAGGTCGAGGGGTTGTCACGGGTATGTCTGCGAGATCTTTTTCGTGCGCACTTCCGTCGGACTGAGGTCGATTCAGTGGCAAATCACCTCTCAACGTACGTTTAATGTTAATATGGATATGATATGAGAACAATACAATAATGATGTGGAATGTCCAGGCTCGACGATCCCCTGATCTGGGGTATAATGCCATGGCGGTCCTTCCTAAGTGAACGAACGACACGATGGGCATTGGGAGCGGCAGATATAATATTCACGAACCCGTGAGCAAGGACATGGATCCTTAGATCCTCTAAACAAGATTTCCCGTTAGTTAGGATTTTCTCCGCGTTCTTTCGGAATGGCCAGGTCCTTGAGACGTTCAGAGGTAAGGGAATATATCAGCCGTCGGTAGACACGGCTGTGTCTAAGCTGAACCGGGGTGGCTGGGTAAGTATTCGTATATCGACTTGCGTAGAGTGAATGACTTAGCGGACATGCGCTCATGTTGATCAGGTTCACTTGTTTGGGGAGGGTAAAGTTTACCAGCCCCGCGATTATCGTGAGGAACATGGTATGGCACATTTAGCAAGGTTCAAGTGGGGGATGTATGTTAATTCCCGCTCCGCTGTTTCTCCCTATCAGACTAACGTATATCATTGTGTACTCAGAGGTCGAATGCTGATGGAGACGGCTCTGCCCCCGACGGTCATTCCGATGTGGCTCACGGGTAGGACGTTACGTCCCCTCGAGAAACAATTTGCTCATGCTCCCGCATACAGGCTTTGACAAACTCATGCCAGAAGGCAGATCCATCCCCTACAAGTTCCTCCCGCGCCCAGGTGTCGCCCTCAGTGTGACCTTCGGCAAGCCCATTTCGGCAGAAAAGATCAGAAGCGCGCTCGCTTCCATCGACCGCGACCCTGCCCGCGTCCAAGTCACCCCGTCAAGCGAGGTCAAGCACGGCGGAGGGTGGATGGGCGAGGCGATCTCGCGCACGGTTTACACGGAACGGTACCGCGAGCGGGAGGGGAAGCTGTGGGAGGAGATGGCGCGGGTCCGGAGCGAGGTGACGGAGATTGTAAGGCAGGAGGTGGAGGCGCTTGGGAGGTCGGTGTCTGGTGCAAGATTAGGGAAATAGATTTGTCCAAGTGAGCGGTTTGCTTCACTGATGCGGTACGAGATCCGAATATTCTCACATCACATCCAAGATATAGACTTCTGCATCATGATACACGCATATCATGTCCCTGCTGGCACGGTTGTCCCGTTATCAAGAAGGCCCGAGTTGTTGGTACTCCCATGCTATGGCAAAGACTCTATCGCCTTCCTCATGTTACGCGTTTTGTTGCGCCACTACACAGCTGGAGTCAGCCATTGTCGCTGACGCCTCATCCGTTGAAACCTCGTAGACCTGCTTCCATGCGTGGTGCCGCTACATAAGATGGCCTCAGAAGTCCGTCTTTTGGCAATTTGCAGCCGGCTGCGCAACTTCTGTTTCGGCAACTTTGGGGCAAATCGCAGACTATGCGATTTAGCAGGCAGCTGCGAGCACGTCCCATTGATGCTTCGCGTACCTGCTAGCGCCCCGGACTCGGCAGACATTGCCCGGCGCTGCCCACAATCCTGATATTACCACTCGAGGGTTTCCATTCAGTCGTTTGATCCCGGTAAGGCAAGACACTGAAACTTCGTCTAGACGCTGGTTGCTTCTACCTACCTGACGGTGTATAGAGTCGGCATTCAGTATACGTCGGCAAGTCGTAAGTCCCGTCAGTGTATTCACTCTGACAGCAGTGATCATCGCCTCTGATGGGGTACACACATTCCTTGACTGCTTGTTGATTGACCGGCAGTTACGGGCTCTATTTTAGTCGTGTCTGGATGATCTGCTTCTTCTACTGAGGGTATAACTGCACGCTATGACTGGAACGGCGGGTTCCACGCTTTACCCTCTGGCTTTCAAGAGCTGGTCAAGTCCGGCAAGGATGAATAGTCTTGGTTGGACTTTCGGTGCATGCCTGGAGGGTGCTGTTGTTTCCATCGTGTGAGTTTTCAAAGTGACACGTCACAGATGCAATCGAACTAAGTAATGGCTTTGATAGGTTGTATGGTGTCGCTTGTGGCCAGCTCATACGCTATTATCGCTGCTTCCCTAATGATACGACATTTCTCAAATGTTTAGTAAGTCGTCCGTCCTTGCGCCATCACTAAGCTGAAGCAAGTTCGGTCCTAGGTGGGAGCTACGTTCGCCGTAAGGTGTTTTCTGATTGTAAAATGAAGGCTCCGCGGACTCAGCGAAACGCTAGATCGATTCATTTCACCAGATACTTGTAATTCACATTATTTGGCATTATCTTATTACCAAATGTGGCGGTGATCCGGCGCTCTGTGTGTACGGGAACTGGTGAGATGGGACGATCCCAAGCTACCCTCGTGACGGCTAACTGTGTCCACCAGGAGCCTCATTGTACGCAAGTAAATTCTCGCGTGTTTGCAGAGAACTGACTCGGCTGGAACAGGCTCAGACAATTCCAGCTGTACGTCACTAACCACCATAATGAGACGACTCATGACCTCATTATTCTGCTAGGAGCTTGACTTCATCCTTGTCCGATTGTATGCTCCGGTACAATCTGCTGCTCAGACACAAGTACTCACTGTTTGCTAGTTTCTACATTACGCGAATTTGGAATTGTACGTTATATTATCACTTTCGCAGCCGAATCCTGAAAGACGCGCACCCCGGTAGTTAACAAGGGAAGGGTTGCATTTGTCATGGTACTTGGTCCATATACCATTGTTCGCGTCCGCAGCTGATCTCCTGCCCCAGATTATTCCAGCTGTCCTGAGTTTCGGTAAGAGGCGTCGTCAATGAGGATGGGCCTCTCCGTATCTAATCTCCCCCGCAATATTGTAGCATTCAGCATTGGTAAGTACTATACATATCTTACATAGGATACCATGTGCTCATTAGGACTAGCCTTCAGCGGATTATTGTAAGCTTGTTTTCTTTCTTCTTCGCTTGTGTCCCAATCATGTCATTCGTAGCGGTCGCTTCAACTCCCTCGTGAGCTTTAACGGACCGGGGCCCAAAAATGAAATACTCGAGGTAGGCATGCATTACGAACATCCATGCGTCCGGCTCCCTGATAGAACCCCACTTATGGCAGATCGTGCTTTGTCTGAGTAGCGTTTGCACCATCATTGTGGACGCGTGCATAACGGTTAGTATGTGTTACTTGTTGTACCGAGCCAGCAAAGGAGTGAGTAGGAGGTCCAGGTACGATGATTTCATGGTTTTTCCCCGGATTCCCGATTTGACATAGTATTCATCAGGTCCTTACGATCAGTAGTGGGCTCTACCATTAACTATACAGTGGTAACCGGGCTTCTTGCTAAGTGAGCCCAATGACTTGCGTACCGTCGCGGAAGGATTACTGACAGTTTGCAGCATTGTAGCATGTATCTTCCTAGTTTCAGTGGGTATATCTCTGTCACTTCTGCTCATGTAGCGGGTCTTCAGCGTTATCTTCTGGTGCGATAGTTCTTTGCACTCCGCGGTTCAATGGCCTTCCTTGCCTTATACTTTGTAGGGGCGAAAGGTAAGCTTATAGTTTCCGATAGGCCATCCGATTTCAGCTCACGAAAAACGGTCGCAGTGTTTGTGAATTCGATGTTGGCAGCGTGAGCTCCTAGTCCCTTCTGCTCATCGAATGGCCCACTCAAACATTTCCCCCCAGTCTGAACAGCCGCGAAGGCTTTCGAGCTCGGCTGGAGATAGTACACGACCTCGATCTTGTTACAGGAGGCGTCGATGGTCCTGCGGAGTGCGAACCCAATACCGATAATTCTTAGTGGGCCGGTCTCAGTTGAAACATGAAGCGATGGCCAAAAGTCTCCACGGAGTGGCAGATCGCCCTCTTACTGGGGGGAGTCTCATGAGAACGATAGCCCGTGATTATGAGGGCGTCTTTCGGAAAGGATCGTTGAGTTCGCGCACAACAACGCGGCAGAAGTGCATTGGACTACATGAGTTATGGGGAGGTATACGGACCAGGGTGGTAATAGAACACGCATGGTATCAGAGACACTGTCGGTAGCATAGATAACTATAATATTATTTAGTGATTCCGCCCTTGTACATCTCTTCCGTCTCGACAGACCTTAACGTTCACCTCTCTGTTCCTCTGCGACAGCGTTGGCCCATTTGACCACAGCTGTCTCGAGCATCTCCTCCCAACCATTGTCTTTCCGCGCGATCGTTCTCGTGTCGAAAGTGAACGGTAGCTCAGCCGACGAGAATTTGGTCTTCAATCCAGGCGAGGGTTGTGGCGATGGTGTCGGAGTAACGTTCAGATTCAGTGGTACGCCCGGCTTGGGGAGGATATGGATGGGTAAAGAGTAGCGTAACTTGAGACCTCTAAAACAAGACTTCAGTACGACCTTACAGGAAGAATTGAAGAAAGTAAGTTTTACCCGGACCACAGCCGTAGGTTATCCAGGCGCCGGTACGTCCAGCCAGTCCTGTTCCTCTCTGCCTTCTCCTCAGCGGTCAGACCCTGCTCCATAGCCAATATATCGTGGATTTCGTCTTTATTGATGAATCCCCAGGGTTTCCGAGACCGGCGGACACCGGCGTTGTATGAGACACACAACAGCTGCCCTGATGACAGAGCCAGAAGAAGTGCAGACCGGTCTGGTGGGGCTGGTGGTAGTTTCGAGCGTAAGTGTTCAGGCAGTAATTCCGATAACACGGCATGTGCGCGACCTGTAACCCTGCCATATGAGATTCATCACCAGACAGGTAATAACACTGAATATACCCAGTGGATCATTCTCAAACGCACTACGCTTCGCCCACTCTGGTAACTCATCTTCATCCACGCTTTCTCCCTCTTCCTCTTCTGCGAGTGACTCCATCTGTTCGGGTTCTTCACTCAAAGTCAAATCCCGCATCTGGTCAATCATGCCCGCAGATACCACTCGGCGCGACGACCTCCGCGACCACGAGTCCATGTATCCTTCGACGTCACCCGCGCTGACCCTCCTACCTTTGCTCTTCGACGCCCGCTCGCGCTCCCAGCCCCTCCGCCCATTCTTTCGCCCGCCAAATAGCACGTCGTCGACCAGATCCAGGTACCGCTGCATCGCTTCCTTCTCCTTCCTTAGATTCTCCATACGAATATCCTGCTTGTACAGCCACCCACCGCCGAGCACGAGCCTCTCGTCCCAGCGCTCGCGTTTCTCCATCTCCTCCGCGCTCATGTCATTCATATCCACGGTGTCATCTTCCCATACCGGGATGGACTCGTCCCGGCCACGCACCTTGACGAGCGAGAACGCGATGGCAGGCTCGGCGTCCTCATGGTCCGTGTCCTCCGCCAGATTGCTCGGCGACGCCACGCGCGAGTGCGAGCCCGCGTCGTGCGAGGACGAGCCGTGATCGCTCTGCGCATCGTACGCATCGTCCGACAGTGGCAGCCGCGACTTCTCCTCGAGCTCGCGCAGAACGGTGAGCACCTCCAGTGCGGCTCGGCGGATCATCATGAGGGGGTCCGACTGCATGTTACCGGGCGAGGCCTGCCGCTTGACGATGGGCTTACTCGGGGTGACTTTGGGGCGGAAGTCGTCGCGTATCCGCACGATTGAGTCGTCCGGGAGCGATATCAGATAATTCCTGACTGACCGGACGGCGTGTGTGCTGATCTTGAGCAGGTTGAGCACGTCCACGTTGCCGGTAGGCTCTCCTTTTACGCCGAGTAGAGCCAGATCGGTGTGCTGGGCGGGAGGTCCGTCATCTAGCTCCCATGCGTGCGCGACAGAGATGAGGTCGTCGACCACCCCTGCGCGCAAGGCCTCCGGGTTCGTCTCGAATGTCTTGACATACGGCGGGAACGCGGGCCTTTCGACCTGTGGTACAGCAGGCGTTGGCGGTAGCTCTGTATGTCCCAACTGGTTGGCGACCTGGGTGCTAATATTCTGTAGTCCCCCGATGGCTGGCACGAGGCCTTTCTTCTGCTTCCCTGCCGTCCTACCGCACACTGTCAGTAGTGCGTCCTCGAACGCCCGCTAATCAGGAGTAAACGAGTACTCACTCTTGTTGCGCACTGAGTCCGGTTTTCGTAAAGTAGTGCTGTAGATGCTCGATACTACCCAGCGCCATCACGCTCTCCCTCTTCGCTGCACTCCTGCTGAACGGCTTCTGTGGTTTCGCGGACTTGTTCATGTTAGGGTAGAACGCTGTCTGCCGCCTCGACTTCTTGATTTCCGCAGTCGACGACGGTGCTGAAGATCCCGTAGACTCCGGCGTAAGCAGGGCAGGGGTGGATGCAGAGGAGTCGGACATCTTCACAAGACTCCAACGGGTGATATAGTGCGGTGATACGTGGCCAGGGAAGGGGGTATACCAAGTACAGGCTGTCCTGAGAGGATGACGCGCGATCAAGCTTGTAGTCGTCGGCGATGATGGTGGTGGACGTAGCGCCAGGGATGCATGCGGCTCGGACGCGAAAGCGTTCGTCGCGGCTAAGTCAATCGTGATTTCGATCAGATGTCTAATCCCGGCGGTACGTGCAGCTCAGTGCGTTTCAGAAAACAGGACAACGGAGAGGGGTGCAGCGGTATTATAATATCTGAGTACGTAGAGAGAACAGTCGCGACTACTACTGAACTTTTGGGATGCGTAAATTAGCCAAAGCACTGTCGTGTCGTCCATGATCCTAGATCGCAAACTAAGTCGCCCTAGACAAGATTCCGAGCCATCTGTCCTAGGGACTCCGCCATCTGGGGATAGTTTTTCATGAAGTCCAGCTGTGCCCATGATGCCTTGCAAAACCTCTGTCAACGCCCGAAAGACGGAGAGAAGTAATGGTTCTCACATATTGATACGTCAAGGCGTTCGCAAGCTCCGGCTCACTCCTCGCCAGCTCAGACTGTCGCTCAAACATCTGGACAGCGCGGTCGATCTTGCCCTGCTGCAAACTTAATTGCGCGAGCGTGGCAACGGCGGCCTCGCATTCGGGGTCGATCTCGAGAGCCTCGTCACAGCATTTCTCAGCAGCGACGATGTCCTGCTTCCACTGGTACAAGGCAAGGCCCTTGTTGACCAAAGGAAGAACGTTCATGGGAGGAGGTCTAAAGGAGATGTTAGGCCAGGATCGCAAGACGGTAACAGCAGAATACATACTTGGCCTTCTCGAGCTCGATGGCACGGTCGAACTTCTCGACCGCATCCTGGAACCGCTGCTGATCCAACAGAAGCTCGCCGCTTGAGTCGAGAATCAGTGCGCCGCATAGCACAACGAAGCGAATAACGTACTAGTAGTTCTGCGGTTCGCTCCTTTGCGGGAACGCCTTCAGTGTCCGTCTGAATGTTGCCATGCTGCTCGATAGCTGACCCGACTTATACTGTGCGACCGCGAGCTGGATGTGGCTGAAGACAAAGTTGGGATCGAGCTCCGTCGACTTTGTATAATCGTCAGCGGCCCTGGCGAACTCGTTCATAATGAACAAAACTATAAACCCGTCAGTGACATGTACCACGGTCGTGGGCGGTGAATTCTACCTTGGCCACGGTGGTAGAAGATATCGGGGTCCTTGGGGTTGAACTTGATGGCCTCCTCAAACGCCTCGAACGCCTTCGGAGGATCACCTTGCTCCATATACACGCTTGCAAGCTTTACCAAACTCTGCGTAAACGCCGGCACGAGCTCCACGGACGCGAGCAGGTCTTCCTTTGCGCCCTGGATATCGCCCACTAGAAACCTATTGAAATCAGCTAACCATCACACAGCTGAAATGGTGTACTGACTTGAAAGTTCCCCTGAGGTTCAGCGCCTCTGCCTTCCCGGCGTCGAACGAGACACCCTGCTCGAGCGCCTCATTCGTTAGGGACATGGCATGAGGATAGTCCGCGGCCTCCAAGGCCTGCAGGGCCTTGATGAGCGTCTCGTCACCCTGACTGGGGTTCTCAGGCAGCTCGGGAAGCGGTCTTGGCCGGAACGCCGCAAAGTACGCGGTCACGAACGTATGGGACGGGAGCCGCTTCTCCCTGTTCGCCAGGATCTCCGCCGCCTTCCGTGTCGACAGCTTCTTCAGCACGCGCTCCACCGACTGCGCTGACGACTCGTTCTGGAACTTGTCCAGGATCGTCGCCGCCGTAAAGTCGCGCAGGGACTCCTCCAGCCGGTCGAGGGCCTCCAGCGCCATCGCGCGCCGGTTCAGCGCCTTCACGTAAGACGCGTCGAGCTTCAGTGCCTCGTCGCAGTCCGCGACGACCTGCTCGTACTTTGGCGGGCTCATGTTGACGTAGCATGCTGCGCGGTTGCTGTAGAAGACGGGTTCGGGTTTGGGGGAGACGGCAATGGCGCGCGTGTAGTAGTCGGCAGCTACGGCGAACTTGCGACTTTGGTAAGCGCTATTGCCCTTTGATTTCAGTGTCGCCGCGAGCTTTGTCTTCCCCTCTGTCGACATGGCGGCAATCTGGTCTGGCGTGTAGTCCAGTTCCTCTAGAGTAGTACAAATGTCATTACTCCTCCATAGAATGAGGTATATGCGCAACTCACCTTCGTCAGACGTCTCCTCCGCCTTTGGCTTGCGTTCCTCGAGGATAGGTCCATCCTTGTCCTTCGCTGACTTGCGCTTTTTCGAAGACTTGCTCTTCTTCTTGTCCTTGCCCTTCTTCTCCCCCTTCTCTACGTCTCCTGCGCTTGGTGGCCGGCCGGACGTCGAAGCATAATACGCAACGCCTGCAGCAGCTACGACAGCCGCCGCCGTGCCGATGAGCACGGCGCGCTTGTTCTCCGAGACGAACGTCTGGACGCGCTCGACGAGCGACGAGTTGGAGGCACCTTCTGACATTTCGCCGGCCAGCACACCAAAGCAGAGAACAGGTCGAGTTGAACGTGTAAGTCAACGTCTGGCACGACGTCAATTCGTCAATTTTGGCAGAGTGCCGTAAGCCTCCGAGCCGCGGCACGCCTTCCTTGCCATCGTCCTCGACGCTCGGGGCAGCACGCGACTTCAATAATGCTACTGACCTGCTCTACGCACTCGCTTTATGGCCGGTACTTTCCTAGGGGCGTATCGTGGAAGCACTATATAATAATGGGGACACACGGTCCAGACATCCCTGCTTTCGGTCATGGCTTCATCGATGGATAATCGAAGTCTGAAGATTAAAATCAGAAACGAAATTTGACGATACAAAGGACGCTCTATGCGTGATTAGTCCCTGGTGAGGTCTGTGTTATATAATGAAGACGACTGAGGCGATTTCCCTCGACGGAGCTCATTTCCTGGTTTTACGCCGTTTACCCCCTCCCCTCGCAGGGCGCTCTGCGGCCGTGGAAGTGGACGGCTGTCCATTGCTGTCATCGAATCGCCTCTTCCTGGTTCGCTGACTACGGCGAAGCTGTTGACCTGCGACAACGCTCATGCTAGGCCCGTGCGTCGACGAGGAGCTAGCGTTGGGCATATTGTTTGCTTGGCTAGCGGCTGCGCCTGTTGTCTGAGCCTCGGGCGACTCTTCCTTGACAGAGCCTGCCGATGGAGAGCATAACTGGCTTGTCACAACTCTCCCCGATCCCGATGGGTTCTCCGTACGTTCAATCTTTGCGCAAGAGACACTAGAACTACCCGACGGATCAGTCGACGAACGAGAGGCGCTCGCTTCCGCTACTTCCTGGCGAAGTTCTTGGACGCCACTCCCTGGCACTTGAGGTACGATGGATTGGGTGTCGTCCGCTCTTGAGGCCGCTAGGTCTCCGTTGACAGCACTACTTGAACTGTATCGGCCCTCGCGCGTCCTTCCAGAGTCAGTAGGAGCACACTCTCCCACCAACAGGGAACCTTCACTGGCAGATAGTCCTGCCGTTACAAGGTTTGGGAATGCGTTCTCTGCATTGCCCATGGCGATGGACCCGCTGAGCGTCATATCCGGTACATTTACTGCCCGATCAGAACGTTCGAAGTCCATGGCGAAGGCCCGCGAAAGTGGCTTCTTGCGCCGGGCGGACTCTGCAAGTCCCAAAGCACGGCTTGATGACGGGTCGGTGGGCTGTTCTGGTACGGATTCGCGAGCTGATACGGGGTGGTCCGGTGGTGCGCGTGTTGAAGGACCGGCTTCTCCGTTAGTTGATGAGTCATTCTGTCCAACTTGACTGGACCCCGCAATGTTTCCATTGACTGGACCGACCGGCAGCCCCAGCTTCGGACGCCTGACAAGTGGTGGACCAGTCTTTCTCTCGCTCCGTGGCCCATTATCCGCTGTCGAGCCAATGGATCCTTTCGGTGGCACGACATCTTGTCCATTGGAGTACGTCTGCCCAGTCCTCGACGGGCCAGCTTGGCTATCACCGCCCGTGCCAGTTTCTCCCAGCGATGGACTATGGTCTGCCATGCCTTCGACAACTGAAGGACCTGTTGCACTTGGGTCATGCTGAGCGGTTGCCGACGAACCCGCCTGTGTTCCGTGCGCTTCCCCGTTCGGATGTGTTATCCCGTTGGGCGTCGCTGGCGTAGCCGGCAATTCGGGCTGCGGACTTCCTCTACAGGAAGCAATGGCGAGAAAGCACCATGGATCGTCAGTCCTTCGTGGTACGCTTCTTGACACGCTTTGTTAGGACACTCACCCTGCCTCAGTAGGGGTAGGTGTCAGATCTCCCAACTTGCGCTCTATCAACCTCTCTAGTCTTTCAATCGTCTGCGTGGCCTCCAGTAACTTCGCCTCCAGCCTAGTCGCCGCACCTTTTATGGTTCTGGTCTATCATTCAAGGAAGTACTTGACTTACTTTAGGCACCTCTGAGTTTGATCTTTCAGGTTCTGTTCCACGCTTCTGAGTAGAGTGGGCTCAGCCCTGTCTTGCTTGTATCTTGCATCTTCGAAGCTGCGGAGCATCTCCCTGATGGTGCCGACTTGCGAACTCATGTACGTTCGCAAATTGTCGACTGCTGTCTGCAAGTCGCTGACTGTGGCGTATTCCAGAGACGGCGCCGGCTGGGACGGGTGAAGCGTGGTGAAGGATTGGGAGCTCGAGGCAGAGGTGGAAGCCATGGTCGTGATACTTGAGGCAAGGAGGTGGTGGAGGATATGGTGTAAAGGTCAGTGTCGGCCTATGTGGCTAGGATATGGTACGGTGCGAAGAGACGCGACTCTGTCGTGGCGGTCTTTATATCTCATTGCCACACGCCACAAAGGATGTGGCTTGGCCGCGTGGTCACAGCGGGTATGGCTCACGCGGACGTTCATTGTTGCTTCCAGTATCCCTTTATCTGGAACTCTTTAAACTATGTCTCGTCGAGCTTACACCGTAGAGGACCCATTGCGCAAGCCACCCACGATGCGCAATAGCTAGGACTCTATTCAAAGCAGCGACGAAAGTAGAATACCAGTGCTCGGCATAAGTTATCTTACATAGATGGCCTATATCGCCGTATATCTGTCGATGGGATGCCCACTTATCTTACAACTCATTCAGCACCCCCACATCTCTGTCTTAAGCACTCCCGCCCACGCCATGATAAAATACACCACGCCGACCGGCAACGCACACTTCCAACCCACGGCGCCCCAATCCCACCGCCTTTCCCCCATGCCCTCCACGCCCAACCGTGCATCCCACCGCCTCCCCCTCCGCCCGTCTCGTTTCCCGAGGTTGCTCACCACCCACATGACCATCGCGCGACTGACGGCGGTAGTGCTGCCCACGATGGCCCAGCACGCCATGGGACGGCGGATGTGGTCGATGGCGGAGAGCGTGAAGTGTGTCGCGGGCCAGCAGATCGCTTGCAGTGCGAGGAGGCGGATGAGCGTCGGCAGCGGGGGGTAGTACGCCCGCCATCGCGTGAGCAGGCCGAGGGTCAGCGCGCGATGGAGGTGACCCGTTAGGATAGCCTGCTGCGACTTAGATGGGTAATCATGGAGAGGTAGAAGTGAGCACGAACCCAGATCATAGCGACGGCATGGTCGATGCGCTTGGGCCCGCCGCTGCCGGCGAACTCGATTAAACCAGCGGCGTGCAGGAAGTTCCAGATGGTGCCGAAGACGGCGGGCACGATCGAGAGCCAGCAGGCGAGCTCGAAGAAGATCTCGAGGGGCGCGGACGAGTCGAGCGCGGATGAGGGGACGATGCGGGTGTTGGGCAGGCGGGCCTGGGGATGCAGATGAGAGGTATGGTGAGGCAGCCTGAAGGCGTACTCACGGTCTCGTCCCCTTCCGTCTCCGTCTCACCGGCGCCCTGCACCCCCGGAGCGGTCGTGATGCTCTTGACCACGTTGTAGCCGTCCCTCTCGTGCCCCCTCGTACCACCCCGTGCTCGTAGATTGGGAGTCGACTTTCGATGTCTCACCCCGCTCGGCGTGGATCCCCAGGACGTGTACATCGCGTCCGACGCCCCTCTACTCCGGTGCCGCTCTTCCGTCTCGGTGACCGAGTCGTCGTCCTCTGACGAAGACCAGGGACAGGGTGGGGGCTGTGGTGGGTAGGTCATACTCACGCTCATACCGGCCGGCAGGGCGCAGATGGCAAAGGCGGGCTGGAGGACCGGAGAAGACAGTGATCGCGGAACAGAGGACGAGGAGGACGACGGGGAGCTTTGCGAGCGTGAACGCGCGCGGGTGCGACGCGGAGGCGGCGGCGTGCGGGCTGTAGACGCGTTTGTGCCCGACGACGGCTCGCTCGACCTCCTCGGAGCACTTCTCGCGGATGGTCTACTGCTGCTTCCCGATACAGCTATGCTGTAATGCGGTGGGGGGTCTGCTTCGGGATGGATCGACGTGAGAGGCGATATGGTGGCCGAAAAGTGTGCGCTTGAGTTAGCGTAGACCGCGGCTGGTACGGATTCTGGTCGTGTTCCGGCTGACTGAAGCTGCTGTGCATAGCGCGAAGGCATGGTCATTAGCACTTTATCATACGCAACACCTGGGGATGGTATGAAAGGCGGGGTCGCTGGCGATCACCCCGCACTCACGCACTGATATACCAGACGAACTCCATATAATTTCGAAATACGCAAGAGGCCTCGGCTTGCGACGATGATAACAGAAACTCTAATACACTTACAAAAGCGGTCAAGATCCTGTTGTACGACCAATATGGCACCCACGGACGCAAGTCGACCCGAGGATGTTCAACACGCCCAAATTTGAATGCTGGCACTTGAATCTTGCGGCTCCGAAGGCAAGACAGTTCCTGTCTTTAAGTACAGGGAAGACCAGCGGATGTCATAGTCCAAAGAGCCGTTTTCCCTCCACGTGTAGACCGGTGTGGCAGCCGGGAGGAGTATGTACTGCTAAATTACTCATTACGTCCGAGGTTTCTTCCCCGGTTTTGGTATAACCGGTAACTTACATTTGAATGCTTTGATCTGGCTGCCAAGATTGAATTGGACTAGAGAGGCTTAGAGCACTCCTGTGTCGGAGTCGCGCAGGGCGCACGAGAGATGCAGAGCGGGATGCACCGAAAACACGTCAAGTGCTGACTACTGTCCATACCTAGTATATTCTCAAACACCCTCTGCTCGACCACTGACCGACCTCTGAATACCCGTCTTGTTGATTGCACTGTCACTGCCCATGCGAGTGTAATTTTACAAGGTTAGTCCTAAGTAGGACATTGTACCGGCTTCTGGTGCTGTCCGCATGCAGTATCCCCTTTGGAGGATCTCCGGCCAGCTCAGCGCCAGGGCCGACAAGTGGCGACACCTCGGTATGTCTATCCTCATAGCCTTCCTTTGTATCTTATTCATGGGGTGGTGCTCTACACCGTCATAGGGCACACACATTGCTGACAACACCCGCTTGGTTGACAGGGATAGGCACTAACACGACACGAGGTAGGATAACCACAGGGTACGTCGCCAGACTGTCAGATTGTCAGAACATGTGGGAACTGCGTCAGCGTGCCCTCTTCATTTAGCTGCAGTATCTCTGCTCTTGCTCTTGATACAGCTACCCTCATGCCCGCGGATGAGGCAATCTCTCATACAGGACCCTCGAAGGTGGCTTGCTCGGCTGCGAGGTGGGGTTTGCGGCTGGAATGCAGACTCTACGCCATGTAATCACCCAGCGGCCGAGCTCACAGCGTCATCAAGGTCCCTATAGCTAACTGCCGGAGCCCGAAGCATCTACATGGGTGACGGGGTAGAGGAGATCCACGCAATACAGTGGTCGGACTCCCAGCGGGACGCGTTCGATATTCCAACTGGACTGCGAACTTCGGCTGACACCAGAAGTCAAATAGCTGAGCGGGTCTCTGTCCCGCTTCTAGGCTCGTCTTCGACGGATACGCTGTAATTGGATCATGCACTCCTCAACCGAAAAGATAAACCACGCCGCCTGATAGGTGCCGTTGCCCAGCGTATCCAGGCTATATGACAGTACGCAGCTCCCTTCAGTTTCGACTTGAAATCTGGACATGCGCTCCATATATGAAGTCACACACAACCCTATCCGGCTTGGATGGCGGCCGGACAACTGGTGCCACTCACAATCAAACCTTCCGCTATCTAGCCATCCAATCATGCAGCTAGATTGTCATGGATTAAGTAACTGCATAGTCACCGGAGCCGGCAAAAATGTGCAGCATAGGCTTTTCTCTTCTTCGTACCCGCCTACTGGTTCTATGCGGCCATAATCTCGAATGCATTGGGTATCTCCCCGTCGATCCTTCCAGAAACAATTGCGACCTCGGCTTCTCGAAGCAGCGCCATCTGTGTTGGACGAAGTGAGTTCATTATAGGGCACCTTCTTGGTCATACTGTCTGATCTTCCGACACGTAAAACATCCACGTCGGACTCGGTACCGACCCTGCTTCCACCTGCCTCGCTAGCCAGGTCTATTGTTTGCCGAGTCGCTCAAAAACCAAAGTAGGGACATGGTTGGCGTATCGGCATCTGGCTGGATCAAGTTTCATCCCCTCTCCTCCATGCCTCTTGCAAGTCGGTATATCCAGGCTCCAAACCAGACGTTGGGCGGGGTAGAATTAGTGGTTTGGTATAGCACTATTTCCAAGAAAAGGGCTTTCAAAGATATCATGCTCGAGAAGCCGTGTCTTACCCTTATCTGGCTCTCGATCCGCAGAGCTTACGGACGTCGCAATGCTGCACCAACGGGTACCAGAACAGAATGTTAAGTAAACAGAGACTTCGCGCTTTTCCTGCACGGAAGACACAGCTTCCAGAGGCGCGTTCGCAAAATCCCGTCTTGTATATATCCGAGTCTTCGTGTCAAAGCAGTCTTGCCTACTTTATACTTCATTCAATGCCCAAAGACAAGGGTTAGCTTGACGAATGAATTGCTTGATCCCTTCGCTATCGTGTTCTGTGACACCTAATACTCAGTAGGGGATAGGTGGTCTATAGCTGCCGGGTACCTGTGGTTTCTCTCACCTTATCGCGAGACACGTCAACTATGCTCCTCCTTCACGGAACCTTCAACATGGATTTGATGTCGAAGGCCTCGTTTTCCTTGCAAGCATTCAGTCGCATCAGAGACCGAAGCAGAAGGTATTACTGGCCTTGGTACTTCGTTCTACTTCCGCATAAAAAACCCTCCAAGTGATAAATAGGACCTTCCCTCTATCTGTATTTAGTCAAGCTATATTTTGGCTTCACATTTTTATCATTCAAGGACTTTAGGTGGTGAAGAGACGGTCTCGACTGCCACAATTTGTGCCACAGATTCAAGTTGCATCGTCATTTGCACTGCCTCAACGCGTGCTTCTCCGTCGGATGCGGGACCGAGATCTGATCTCGATTCGCCACGATCAATTTCTTTCTTCATTTACGTAATTACTCTCAGCTTTCCTTCCTTCCAGCCTTCATCCATCCATTCGCCATCCTTTATAAGCTCTCACTAAAGCCAAACGTATCGAGGTGGAAGTATCTCGGGATCGGCGAAGTCATGTCTGCGACTGCGTTCGCACCTACTGGAGAAGAGGTTATCACTCGCGCTATCGAGGTGAAGCCGGAGACAAGCACACCTGATTATCGGTCTGCCGACGAATTCAGAGAATATTACGAGATCCCAAGAACTGCGACTGAAATAATTCAAGGATCTTTCAAAAGGGTCTGTATATCTATGTATTAGTGTTTTTGCTTCGTCAGTTTAGATCTGGAAAGCTGATCCTGCACCCAGATAGCCCTGCAATTCCCCGACGAGCTCTTGCACGACTCGGTACCTATATATCGCCACTTGAAGTCAGACCTGGAAGCAGCTGCAGGAAGCGAGGCGGCTCCAGAGCTCTACGTCCTGGCTGACACGTCCTATGGCAGGTTCGATTCCTTGGACAGTTTCTGATTTGTCGCCTGACAAGAAAATTTCTTCTATACAGCTGTTGTGCAGATGAAGTAGCCGCCCAACACGTAGATGCTGATCTGATCGTCCACCATGGTCATGCTTGCATGAGCAAGTGCGTGCATATCCAACTCGCTCCCAAGGACGTACCCTGACACAAGCACGATAAGGACATACCGGATGCCCGTGATATACGTGTTCGGGAAGAAAACTCTGGATGTTGAGGATTGCGTCTCAAAGCTAGCGGAATGCATAAGTTCTAAAGATCAACCAAAGAGAGTGGTCCTCAGGCATGACGTAGCATACTCACACGTCGCAGGTAATTTGGCCAGCAATCCTATGTCGGGAACCTGCCCGCTCACCAACCGCTACAGGTCATGTTATCAATAGGCTGAGAGGCGCCCTTCCTGGCGTCACCATTGAGTACTCTCGAATACCCTTAAGACTCGATCCATCGCCGCATAAACCCAATGCTGTCGCTCCCTCGAGCGAAGCAACCCTCGCAAACACTGAGGACGGTGATGGCGCAGATGCATTTGACCAGGACAATAATCCTCTTATTCTCTACATTGGAGGCGAGAGTCTCGGCTTGACGAATCTACTCATGACCCATGCATCATCAGAGGTTCGTAGCTTTCTGAGCCCCTTGCCCCGGATACACTAAAGCGCGGAAAGGTATACTCTTATAATCCGGAAACTCGCTCAACACGCCTCGAGTCCGGGCGGGCGAACAGGCTGCTCATGAGACGGTACGCCACCGTGCAGAAGGCACGAGATGCGGATGTCTTTGGTATCCTAGTCGGGACTCTCGGAGTTGGTTAGTATCCGTTCGGCGAGTCCAAACGCAGGGTTTCCAGATCTAATAGATCGACTGATGAGCTGACAGCCTCGTATCTGCCCCTCATATCGCACCTGCGCTCGCTCTTGTCTCGGTCGCGGAAGAAGAGCTACACCATCAGTGTAGGGAAGCTCAACCCAGCCAAGCTCGCGAATTTCATGGAGATCGAGTGTTTTGTGCTCGTGGCGTGCCCAGAGAACAGCTTGATTGAATCGAAGGTCAGCTTCTCTGTGTGGCGCTTTTGCTGCATGCCGAACAGTTGAGACACGCTCAGGAATTCATGAAACCCATCGTAACACCATTCGAGCTCGAGATCGCGCTCAAGTCAGAGCAGAGCTGGACAGGGAAGTACGTGCTCGATTTCGAGCGGCTTTTGGCAGAACACGACAACGAAGTCCCGGAAGAAACTGCTGATCGTATGTCTACCTCTACCCGTTTGTTGGCAGTGCAGCTAATGAACTGGACGATAGAGCGAGAAGACGATAGCGAAGACCCCGACCAGCCGATCTTTTCTACCATCACGGGCAAGTACCGGACCGCACGACGGTTCGGTGGTGCAGGTCTGTGCCTTCGACTCCGTGACTCACGCAGCTTCTCATGGAGTATTCCTACCCAGATGCGGATTCTCCACAGGTAGAGGGCGGGACCCCCTCTGCCGTCGTTCTGCGCAACCAGGATAACACTGTAGCGACTCTCTCGGACAGTGCAGCAGGTGAGCGATACAGTCGTGTCTAGGATGTGGAGACTCATTGTACGGAGCAGCCGAGTTCCTACAGTCTCGTTCCTTCCGCGGCCTCGAGACAAGACTGGGGGAGGACGCCCCAAGTGTGCTCGAGCAGGGACGGAGCGGCATTGCTAGAGGATACGCGAACGATAAAGCGGAGTAATGGATTTTGATCAACGCGGGGTAATGCCAGTGACTTGGGGGGATCTACAGATTAGTGTGGCTGGCACCTCATGATCAGTATCTATTTCAACGAAATGAGCCCAGTTGGTGTAACACTCTTCACAAGACAGATAATTATGCAGTCTGCAATATACAGCTGAGCGAGCAAGTCGGTCCCGATACTCTTCTAATAATCCTCGTGTCTCGACCATTTGGTCAAACATTGTGCTGAAAGGAGAATTGATCCCGTCATATCGCTACATTTCATCACATATCATACGTTATACAGCCCGACATGCTTCATGCTGGCACTTCATCGACGGACCCGGGTGCAACCTTCACGAAGCAAGAGCGTAGGACCCATCTTTAAAATCGAACACGAACGCGCTGCCCAACCCAAAAATCAGCCTTGCGATTCATGACTTATAGAGGCAAAGGGATACGTACTCTTCAACCAGAGGGAATATATAGTCCTAGAGCACGCATCAGTCCGCGATCAAGCTGACCCCGGGACACGTACCTTGAATGCCTGGTGCGCCGGGTCGTGGTCTAGGTAATAATCCCGCGTCGGGATGTCTGGGAACGTCATCACGAAGGTTTGCTGCATTGTATCATCATTAAGCCAGGGTCAGAATAGTAGTATTACTGGAGGAAGAGACTTGCGTGTAAGCCCTTGGTCATGCCCTCGGGGCTAATGTTGCTCCCGCCGGCGAAGCTCGCGATGTACGGCGCCCCTTTGCCGTTGTCGAGCTTGCACTCATCCTTGAGGGCGGCGAACTTGCGCGCTGCCTCTGCAAGGTCGCACACACGTTGAGTCAAGCCTGTTCTGTAGATGGCAGCGATAGAAAGCGTACGTGCCTGGGGCTACAGCCGGGTCTTTGTACTTGAATGAGACAATGTGAACAATGGGCGCGGACATAGTCTGGCAGCTGTGGTTGATGTTAAGGTGATGATTGTGAACTGCCTTCTTCCGGAGGCATCTCCTAGATGAGTTGAATGTTGTGGCGTATCCCGGTACCCGCGGACCGGGAATTATTCTTAGACCGAGGAAGTGGAGGAGTAAATCATGAGGAAAGTCATCTTTACCTTGTATAACCTTCAGGCTTCCGTCTTTCGTAAGAAAGAGTACTAGTCGAGTGTGACAAACACTGGAATTCAATATGACCGTGTGAATCTAGTCATGGACAGTGGTTTGTGGCTGCTATGCGCGGGTGGCTGTGAGCATACACTGAGACTTTGCTGAGAGCGCATGTTGGGAGATCGTGCATCTAAGTGTACCGCAGATGGGATATCGCCAAATGCCGATCATGACATGCAAGAATGGATCCACAAACATATACATACTAGCAGCTGAAGATACAGTAGAACCAATATGAGTCCGCGAATAAGCTTACATCTATAGATACTGAAACTCTCAGTCGGCCTAGTCATCCCGTCCTGCAGGCTTTCCTATCTCTTTAACGTCATGAACTATCTGCCCAGAGCCAGGCCTCCACCATCCTAACAGCACCTGGAACAGAGTGGCGTTGATATTCGAGCCGATGCTACCGATACGCATGCCCAACCGGATGAGCGGGGTGAGCGGTGGGACCAGGAGGTTCATGAAGTCCTGAGCAGGTATTGCAGATAAGAAGCGCTGCAGGGGAGGGGAAAAAGTGTGTGCTCACGTCCGGATGGTACCAATCTTCTTGGAGGGCGATGTAATGCAGACCATCGACCTCTCGCAGTTTGATGTGCGTCATCAAACTAGGATATATCAGCATGAGCTTGACTATATCTCACGAAGGAGGGGATGGAGAAGTTTACCGTGCTGAAGCAGGGCGGAAGGGATTCCACCGGATGTGGAAGAGTTGTGTCGAGTCGGTTATGAGCCGTCCCTGCCTCTCATCGTACACTATTGCCATTCAAGTTGAGCCAGTCGAGAGAACATGTACCGCCTTCGGTCACTCACTAACGCTATGCACCTCAATGCTCAGCTTCGGAGACATTATCCGGTACCACCTTAACGCATCAGTCAATATGAACGGTATCAATCCATCAATAGGGACGTACTGGTATATCCCCAGGATCTCCTCCCTCGACTTAATCCCGGGCGGCACATGGCACAGGGGATGCCTGAATTCAGCATCTGGACAGAAATACCTAGGAGCTCCGTGTCAGAAGTTTCACCGTCAGATTACAAACCTCCTACTTTTCGACGGTCGCTTTCTGGATGTCGGGCGAGGCGGAGCTGCAAAGGAGCTTGATGACCTGTGCTATCTCTTCTGCTGGACTTTGCATGTCGCTTTTGCGTTATTTATCGCTTTTCTAGTAGGTTACAGGAATAGATGGGTGACGGTCGACGCGTATGTTAGAAACCTGGATTGTGGACATGGCAAGCCTTGAGCCACCGTCAGTGGGCACGACGTCATCGGCTCGCAAATTGGCCCGGCTACTGAACTGAGCCGAACCAATTCGAGTCGACAGAAAAGAGTAAACACACGCAAGCTTCACCTAAGTCCACAATTTTGCTTCGGTAGGTCCACGACTGAAAGCTACACGAAGGGTCGATGGAGGCTGCTGATATTCTGATTCGGTGCGTTGACGTTCCTTAATGTACATGGGGAGGTATAAGGACTCTGGGTACAAAAGTCAAGAATGTTAGTCACACTACACCTAACGCTAGTCTCGAGAAATAGAATAAACTGAGGCGGTAGGACATATACTTGAAGCTTCGTGGAACATAACTGGGGAAGTCTTTCCAGGAAGGCAGTCAGATGCAGAGCGCAAGTTTATTCCAGGGGCTCTGAGTGTAATCTAAATTAGACTGCACCAGCGTGCAAGTCGACGCGCTGCACTGCGGACCCTTGCCTCCTATTTTTGTGACAAATTCTTTGCTTAATCCCCATGTTATCTTGATACTATGTCTCATGCGAAAGACCAGCACTACTGGGCGCAGTTGCGAGCGGCGCTGACGGCGGGTGACTGGGCGTCATCTACCCCGGCGAAGACACCGAAGGGGGCGCCTCTCTCTTGGTCGGAACTTCTGCGCAAGTTCAACAAGCACGCCAAGGGGTTCACGGACGTAGCTGAGGTCGCGTCACAAACTCAAAATCTTGGACTATTGCTGAGCGGGAGCCTCGAGAACAAAGCGTCAGACGGGCAGGAGACTCCTTACGGATGTTTGCACCTCGGTGACGAGTGCGTCTTACCAGAGGATAGGTTGGAGGATGCCAGGGCTGGATACGAGGCATTGAAGAAGCTGAACGCGCCCAATTACGACGTACGTGGTACATTACATAGCCTAATGCATGGAGCTCTAATCATGGCCTGCGAAGTCTCTAAAACTTGCTCTTGCATACTATGCTTATTCCCTCGGGAGACCAGAAGAATGTCTCTCCTACATAGCGAGTGTCCCTAACATATCAGACCTGCAAAGTCGCTTGACTCCACCCGCGAGCATGAGGTCGGAGGCAGCGACTCTCCAGATCCCCAGCACGCGCGCCGACACGCCTGCATCTTCCTGGGGTGGAAGCGTCGCGTCCCATGACTCCGCGTCTGCCGGGTTCCCCGACATCAACGACGGACGAGCTTGGGCTTTAACGGAAAGTATCAGAAGCGTCTGCCTGGAAGGTAAGGGTGGTTATCGTGCTTGAACATCACAACTGACCCAGCCCAGGCATGTGCGCCGAGAAACTACGTCCGGATAACATGCAGAAAGCCGTGGAGATCTACTCGGCCGCCCTCCCCCTCATCACCGTCCTCGAGTCCGAGCTACCACGACCCGTGCCCGCCCCGTCCTCCAACCGCGGCGCCAGTACCCTCGAGTTCAGCTCGTTCACGCGCTACCGCGAGCTCTGGCGGTGGGCGGAACGGCTGCTCTGGCGTGCGATCATCCTCACCGCGCGCACGACCGAGCTCGGGCGCGACACGAGCGGGCCGCTGTGGACGCTGCTGAAGCAGTACTACGTGTGCAGCGCGCACTGGCCGCCGACGTTCCGGACAGAGCACCGCGCGACGGTCGCGGTACTGCACCTTCGCGCGATCGTCCTCCAGGCGCGGGCGACGCCGAAGCCGCCGAACCGAATCCTCTCGACGAGGGAGGCGGCGAAGCCGTCATCATGGCTCGGGATTGCGCGGCCGGTGATTCAGGAGTATAGGGTGATCCTGAATGTGAGCACGACGTTCCCGAAGGCGGGGGAGAGGAACGTCAAAGTGGAGGATTTCGTGGACCTGTGCGTGGCCGTGTGGGAGGCGAGCGGGGCGGTTGGAGACTACGCCGGCTTGGTGATCGACGTGAGTGTGCCATCAGCTCATTCATGTACTATTCCGACCTTTGGTTGTAGGTCCTCTGGTGGGCAACGCGCCTCACATTCAACTCGTACCGCATCTTCCGCCACATGTCGCGCCTGCTGTACGTCTCGGGCGACCCCGAGCTCGCCAAGCGCTCGTTGCGCCTATATGTGCAGGTCGTCGGCAAGGCGCGTGAGACCGCGGAGGCGGACGCGCGGGCAGGGAACGAGAACAGTGCGTCTGTGCTCGGTGCGGCGCTCGACGCGGACACGGATCGGCATTGGGTCGAGACGCTCGTGCAGGGTGCGCGGATGCTGTGCCGGCTCGCGGGGGCCAAGCCTGGGGGCGAGGGGATCGAGGAGGCGAAGGAGGCGGGGGTTATGGTCGAGAAGGCGAGGACGAGGCTTGATGCGGAGGATAAGGAACTCGCAGCCAGCGTCGATTTGGCAGAGGGTATTTGGAGTATGATGATGGCTAATAAGGGTGAGTGTCTGGTACTCGACGGCTAGGCCGCGATCATTCAAAACTGACCTGCCCTCTGGCGTGTCTCTAGAGCTCGATCCGCGTACAAGGCCTGATCGGCTGTCACATGCACTCACGATGTTCCAGCGTTCTGTGGGCACGTTTGCTACACCTTCAGGGCATTACCACCTCGCGCTGGCGTTCACCCGCCCTGGTCCATCGCGGGATTACGAGAAGGCGATCGAGCATGCACGGCTGGCGGTTGAGGCTGAGCCGGAGGAAATACGATATTGGCATTTGCTGGGACTGCTTTTGGTGGCCACCGGTGACTGGAGGGGGGCTCGGAGCGTACTCGAGCTTGGTGCTACCGTTGGGGAAGACCCGGACGAAGCTCAGGATGCTCAAGACGCTCAGGGCGCCGCCACGGAAGAACTCAATGGCCAGAACGTTAGGACGAAGGACTTTGGTGTTTCCAATGGAACTGGGACGGCCCCTGGATATTCTGTCGACGGTGGCTCTCCAGATGAACACGGCGGTGACTCAGGTAAAGCATCGCCTGACCCTCAGTGCGGGGTCCTTGTCAAGCTTCTGGATCCGGATATGCACCGGCTCCCTCCGCCTGAGTCGTTGCTCCGACCATTGCCCGACCACCCGGTCCCTTCTCGACACGATACGTTCGAATATGCGCTGCAGTTGCGTATGACGCAGCTGGCTCTGGCTGAGATGGTTGAGGGGCCGGAAGGTGCACAGACGAAGGCACCGGAGGTCTTCCGCTGGTTTGCCGAGAAGAGAGGTACAGGTGAATCACGTAAGTTCAGCCTGCTTATTCCTACTGCTCCCTAAATAGTGTTGACTATAATCCGTCGACAGGGAGGGAGTCAATAGATAGTAACAGAACGTCTGTGGAGCTCAACCGGTTATCTACTTTGGATCTGCCCCAGCAGGAGCCGCTGTCGCAAGTCTCTGAAAAGCGTCATTCGCTGGATGTCTCACAGCAGACAAAGTCTTCGGAAACCGAGCGGCCGTCGCCTATTTCCATCAACGTCGAACCCGCTACCCCCGTTGTTCCTTCGAATGGCTTCCCATCTGGCGAAGACGGCTTATCCGAGAAACGGTCGACTTCGCTGGAGAAGGACCGGGATGGCGGCAAGAAGGTGCAACAGATGCTGAAGAGTCGAGTGCACAAAGGACAGGCGAGGATCTCGACCATCTCGAAAAAGATAGGGCATGGCGTGACCAGGAATGGCGTTGTTAACCATCTTCGCAGGACCAATTCAGCGCCGAGTATGTGCTGTTCTGTTCAAGGGGAACTCCCACTCACCCCATCTTCATTGCAGACTTCCGCGACCCACTGGCCCGCTCTCCTTATCAAGCCTCCTCTATCCATAGGTCTTCTCGGCGATTCCTTGCTTCACCGATATCTCGCTCCCAGCAAGACCTTGCGTTCATGGAATCCGCACCGCCGCCGCCGCCTTCATTATCGCCTCAACAGCCGTTGACGAAATGGAATAAACGTATGGCCAGAGAGAGGAAGCTGCTCAGCGACCTTTGGTTGATGTCCGCCGCAACATTCCGGAGACTAGACAACGTCGACCAGGCCAAGGGGGCTATACAAGACGCGGAGGTCCAGGATCCACAGAATACTGGAGTATGGGTGCAGGTAGGGCTCCTCGTGCGATCAAGCAGACAGGCCTCTAACACCTCATTTATCCTAGCTTGGCCTGTATTACATGGCTCTGAACAACCCGCGGCGCGCGAAGGAAGCCTTTCAGAAGGCGTTATTCATATCGACAGACGACATACCCGCCATCATCCACCTGAGCCAGCTGTACCTGACGCAGCCGGGCGCCGCGCTGTCGCCGATCAGCCCGCACGCAGAGAGACCCGACCCGGACAACGTCGACCTGGCGGCGGGCATGCTGAACGACCTGACGCGGGGGGTCGGGTGGGATGTGCCCGAGGCGTGGTACTTCCTTGCCAAGGCTTATGGGCTGCAGGGACGGAGGGAGCGGGAGCGGGAGTGCTTGACCTTTGCTTTGGGGTTATCGGTGACGAGAGGGGTCCGGAGTATCGGTGCTGCTGTCGGATGGTGCTTATGAGAGACAGTGCGCGCGATGGAAAGTTTAATTTATGTATATACCCACGTCACCCATATCTTAATACATATAATGAACGTGTCCTACTGCTCCTGTGCAAGTTGAGGTTGGGTACACTATAGGTTATTGGAGTAAATAAGCTATTGATCCCAGGAGTATCTCTGAGGCATTGTATATCCCGTTCAAAACACGTTTGGCCTAGGAATGCTTGGGATGCCTCGCTTCGACCCTCCCGTTGGGCTTGCTGAGTTTGTGGTGGTAGCGGTGGGATTCAGGCTACGACTCGTTTGGCTTGCAATTGAAAGACGTGTGGCATCTTCTGCGCACCCATTGCGAGAAGTCACAGATCCCACGCCCCCATCGTCGGCGGCATCTAATCTGATAAGATCACTGATGCCCCCCTCGGCCGAGCGTCCACGTACGGCCAGACATTGTGGCACCACTGTGGTTTGAGCCTCCACCACCCCGCCGAACAAAAACGCAATCACCTGGATACACATTAATGCTCTGGGTGCCGTTGCTGCGTAGCACGACTGCTACGGTGGGTCTTCACATGCACAGGCGGCCAATATTCGCCCGTCTCTACGCGTGCAAATTTCCAGACTCACCTGATATTTTTATCATGTCGTAACCAATCCTGTGCCGAGCCGCGTCTACGAGCGATGCCGCAGCCACGCACGGTCTAATCTGATTAGATTACGACGCCCGCCGGCAGGACTACCCCCGCGAGCGTACGAACAGCGTAAGAAGGACGGGAGGGGCAGCGGTACGGCCCCATCTCACTCGAGTCCTGCCCTGACGATGGCCGCCATGATTCGCGCGCAGGCCCTACTCAGGACTCCCTGGGCACGCAGCCCACCGCGCTATAAAGGCCTCAGTGTATTCGCCACCTCCACCCAGCCCACCCACACCCACACCCACACTCCAAAGCACAACCTCCACACCAGCAACGACATGTCTCAGTCCGCGAGCCTTCCCCCCGCGAGCAGGCCCTACTTTGAAGGCACCGAGTACGCGCCGCTGCTCGCGCAGGACGCGCGGTTCCACGAGTGGTGCCGCGAGGACGAGTACCACGCCGCGCGCCTCGTCAAGCCCGACCCCGTCGTCGACCATGTGATCAGGAATACCAAGGAGAAGGGGCTGCCGGCGATCTTCATCAGCCCCATGCAGGGCAAGTTCTTGGGGATCATGGTGAAGGTGACCGGCGCGAGGCGCGTGCTGGAGCTGGGCACGCTCGGCGGGTGGGTGTCCCTAGGTCTTTCGAGTGATGGGCCGGTTGCTGATTGCAGCTGGGGATAGGTTGTCCGCGATCTACATGGCGCGCGCCCTCCCTGCCGACGGGCAGCTCGTCACCCTCGAGTACAGCCCCAAGCACGCCGAGGTCCGCTTTCCATCTCCCACCACCACTTCCCCAGATCCCATCACTAACTAAACGCTTTAGGTAGCGAAGGAGAACATCGCGCACGCGGGGCTGTCCTCCAAAGTGCAGATCATCGTCGGCGACGGCAGCGCGAGCCTGGAGAAGCTCCGCGCGGACGGCGCGCCGCCGTTCGACATGGCGTTCATCGACGCGGACAGCGAGCACGTCGCGGACTACGTGCGCCTCGCCAAGCCGCTCCTGCGCCAGGGCGCGCTCGTCGTGAGTGTCGCCTTCCCCCTCCTCTGCCTCCTCCTCCCCCGCCGCGCCGGCCGCCATACAAGCAAACGCTGATGCAGACGCCCACACAGCTCGTGGACAACATGGTCAACGCGGGCTGGGTCTCCGACCCCAGCGTCACCGACGACACGCGCGTCGCGGGCGTGCGCCGCCTGCTCGAGCAGCTCAAGGACGACGCGGAGCTTGAGGCGACGACCGTCCAGACCGTCGGGGTGCGCTACTGGGACGGGTTCCTCGCGGCCGTCAAGCTCTGATTCGACGTCGAGTCAGTCGTGTGGAAGGGAACGCTGATTCAACTCAGCGGGTGTTGTTTCGTTGGGGTAGTACGATTAGCGTCGTGGTTTGTTGTTCTAGTAGTCTGAGCACGGGAGTTGATCTGAACCATCTTGATCCATATTTATCTCCCCAAGGATAGGAGATACCAAAGAAACAATCGACAGTACTGTCAATCATGATCCAAGTGGCTGGAGGTCGTGTTCAATCACGGCCGGGCGAAGGTCCAAGGGGAGAGACGGCTTCCAACCAGTTCCAACCCCATCGCCCAGAGATGTCGCATACTGAGACGTCCAAGAACGGGTCAGTGGTGGCCCAGCGACCGCTGAGAAACAGTCCGCGAGCGGGAACTGCGATCCTCCCTTCACCGGGAAGCGAAGAGGGCAGCACACGCCGCTTCTCGTCATCAAGGACTGAGAGCCGAGATAAGTGACTCGCAGCTAGGTCAGGGTGTCCCTAGGCACGCGCACTGTCCTTATCCCGCACTGCCCGGGGCTCGTCGGTGTTATCCGGCTGGCAGTATGCGTGCATGGATAGCCCTTTCGAGTCGCCGCCCCGGCGCCCACCGTACGACAGCTTGTCTCAAGCCGGAATGTCGGGATGAGGCGCACTCGGACACCCACGATGGTGCCAGTCCACATTCGATCAGGTGAGTGAATTGTAAACAAGACATCATTGAAGAACTGGAGGGAGGGCGAGTCTGAGATGCACAGGATCTGTCGTGGAGGCTGGGGCTTTCCAGGGCATGTCTGGGGAGCTATTTGCCACGAGGTGTCCAAGGTGAGGGCAGACGTGTTCGTGGTCTGTAACGCCGTGGCAGACTTGGTTGCGGAGCTCGAGGCATATTAGGATTCTGAGCTCGACAAGAAGCAACACATGGCCAGGGATGGAATGAGCCTTCAAGTTGAAATTCCCGAGGAAAGTAGTCAATGCTGCTGAGATATGGATTCCTAAAGCATTCCTTTGCTAAGTAAGTAAGTAGTTCCATGTAAGTGTACAGCAGGAAGTCTGAGTCCGGTGGCTTCAGTAATACAGATAGGCGTCGGAATATTCGTCTTCGTCTTCGATGTTATTTATATCCACCTTTCCGTCCCAGGTGAGCGTTTGGACAACCTTTTGTAACCGGTCCAGTTCGTCCTGGCCGAAGTTGATTGCTCTTCGAATATCAAGGTGCGGGAACTTGCGACGCCTAAGCTTCCGAGATCCCAGTGCTTCTTCGATGTCATCTATGAGATCCCCATCCCTGGATTCACCGTAAACCGCGCAAAATCGCACTTCATCCAATTGAAGATATTTCAGATGAGGGAATAGGGAAGCGTCAGGGTCAGGGTCAACGCGCAAGTCGGCAGTCTTTCGAGGATTCTTCTTTTTGTCATCTTTGGATAGGAGTGCCATAGGGAGATAGTCGGCCGCTGCCCTATGAACGCGAAGCTTTGTGACTGTCCTCATGTGCGCAAAGGACTTCTTCCACACATCAAAGTCGGGGACATTTTCAATTTGGAGATACTTCACATGGGAGAGTGGTAAGCACTTTCCGATCCTCTGCAGCACTGTCTCAAAATTGAACCCCGTGCGCATTGCTGTCAAGTGTATCTTTGCAGGGGTCTGATGAGAACACGATTCGTGCGAAAGTATGCTTGTCCACCCTTTGAGTTCCAGCGTCCAACCCAGGTGCGTGGTAACTGCTATGAGGAGAGTGCGGAGAGGCGGCGGGGCGGTGATCCGGTTGATGACGGAAACCATGGGTTCCAAAGCCTGCGGTTGCGTTTCCCTCCACAGGTCGTCCACCGTCAGGTGCATCGTACCCTCCGGCGGGAACGATATATGAGCTACAAGCTCGCACAAGGAATCACGTCGCAGTAGATGTCCAGACGTTCTAGGTGGGGGAGGATGACGTGGCACTTAGCGATGTGAGGCTAGACGTCCTCTCCGGAAATCATCGACGAGTCGTATATAGCGAGCGAGCGGAGAAGTGGAGTATGAAGGAGCAGCGCGAGGACGGCAGACACTGTCGACTTGGTCGAATGCCCGGACCAAGACAGGCGTGTAAGGGAAGGCAGCACCAAGATCCGAAAACAGTCCAACGGATATCCGGTCACATCAAGTTCTCGAAGCTGCGTGGGTATCAGAGTGGATATGAACGGCAGCGGTTCGCTGCTCGGTGAACCCCTTGTGTACAATGCGCTCAGTTTCAGGGATCGTAAGAGAGGCACTTGAGTAGGTTCCGAGCGGTGAAATGGTCGCAATAGGCGCCTTTGCACATTAAGATTGAGATCTTTCGCGCGGTGCATCTCGCCAACGATGGACCCGAACATTTCGCTACCTTCCCTGGAGTCCTCCATACTGCCGCTAACCGAAAGGGGTGCCTCCTTTGACCGAGCCAGCATTTCCTTCACGCATGGAAGCTTGGCCATGACGACTTCCGCCCATAGCCTGGGGGTTTGAAGAGCTACTTCGCGCCAGTGGTGGCGGACATGAGTGATACGAAAACGAGAGATATATGGGGGGACGGTGGTCCCATAATCGACATATTCGCTGGTGCTCAGTTCAGCATAGGCCATAAATACTTCGGCGAGCAGCTCGGGGGGCAGACGCGCGATGAGGAGTAGCGTGTTCAGCTGACGCTTGAGGTCTACGATTTCTCTACATTGCTGGGCGATCTGCTCCTCGATCTCGCGGCGAAGCCCGCCGAGCGCCATGCCATCTCGCGGAGAGGACGCTCTAAGGAAAGTGCTGCTCTCGGTGTTTAGCATGCCACGTTCATTGAGTGCACGCACTCGGAGTCTGACATCCTGGAGGTGGGCGGTTGTCGCTGTCTGGGAAGCATCGGAGTCGTCACAGCTGTGACACATCGTAGTTATGACAAGATGAACTCTCGAGTCGACTCGGACCACAACAGACGAGCCGCGCTTAGGAATCTGGAATGGAATGGCCTTCAAATTTTTCAGCGTGGCAGTATTATAGCAGTGTCACACCTACGCCTAACTTGGTGTATCAGCGTAAAACTCTTGTCGTCGATACCGATACCGATACCGATACTCTCGTACGTATTACACTCCTACCTATAAATACCCCCGGGCGATGTGCAGTAGCGTCCTAAGATATAATATAGCTACGAATGGAGAACGAAAATCCGTAGAAATTTGGATGCAGGTGTGCCATTCACTCAGCCAATGTGTTCATGTATCTCCTTGCCCGTCGATATGCATGATGGACTTCCCAATACTCCCTCCCTTGACCTTCCTTGTACTCTACGCCCTTCTTAATCGATCCTGCAATAAAAAAACCCCAAATCAACACTGCCCTCCCAAACCCCGTCCCCAAACCCCCAAACCCAAAAAACACTCACATCCCAACCAAACTCATGCCCGCCACGCCCGCGAGCAGCGCGCCGAGCGCGAGCGCCTGGCGCCGCCACCCCGCGCGCCAGCTCGCGGGGTCCATCACAAAGTCCGCGGCGAGCATCTCGACCGTCGCCGCGTAGATCAGCATGCCCGCGCTGAGCGCGCACATCCAGCCCGTGAGCGCGGCGGGCGCGGAGGACGCGAAACAGAGGAGGCCCGCGAGCGTGCCGAGCGGGGTGGTGAGCGCGAAGAGGACGGCGAGCGTGGGTTTGAGGAAGCGCAGGGCGCGCGCGCGCGGGGTTTTGGATGTGGTGCTGTGGGCTTCCGTGTCAGAGTGCTGGGGCGGGTGGGAGTGGGCGTGCGGGTGCGCGTGCGGGTGCTCGCCCGTGGGGAGCTGCGCGATCCGGATGCCGAGCGAGAGGCCCTCGAAGAGCTGGTGGAAGATTATTGCGAAGACGAGGGAGGCTATGAGATCAATTAGCTAGCTGCTGTGAGGTCGAGATGGCGAGGCGGAGGTGGGTGGATAAATGTGGAAGCACGCATGCAGCGAACCCTCGGGGACAGGAAGTGAACAGTGATATCATGGAAGGACAAGAAGCGGTAGGGCAAAGCAGGCGCTGGAAGGGAAAGAGATGGGACTCACTGAACCCGTTCCCGCTCGTGATCGCCAACGTGAGCCCGATGACGAGCGAGTGTATCATGATGCCCAGTTGGAGGACCTGTGATGCGTGCTGCCAGTCAGCCTGCGGCAAATGGGAGGAGGGAGAACGAAACAAGGGGAGCTGGCTTTCTCGGGGAGGGCGGGGAAAGGAGGGAGCGCGTGTGGGTTGAGGAAGAGAAGCGGGGCGCATACGGCTCCGGAGAGAGAAAGCCCCGAGGACGGAGGAAGTGTAGCGCAGACAAAGCATGAGCATACACCCCTCACCCACGATTCCGCGCATACACTCCCGCCTCCCCCCTTCTCCCCTCGCCTCGCCTCTCCAAACAAAACAACTCCGACTCACCAAAATCCCCACAACGACCCGTTTCCTCCCAATCCCCTCGCCCACCTCGCCCTCGCCCACCTCATCCCACCCGCCCCCGCCATGCCCGTGCCCGTGCCCGCCGTCGTGATGGTGGTGCCCGAGCGGCCCAAAATCGTAACTCTCCTCCAACGCGTCTTCCCCGCCGCCCTCCGTCGCCCCATCTATCTGCCGCTCATCGTCAACCTCACACTGATGCGGATGATGCGGATGCGGCCTGCCCCCGCCTGCCCCAAACGCGCCCGCGAGCTCCTCGGCCTGCAAGCTCCTCCGCCGCCGGCCGACGTGGCTCGCGTGCTGCGCGCGCGGCTCGTGGCGGTGGTGCCCACCCGAGAATATGTCCGCCTCGACACCGCGGTGGGCGTGCGCGTGCGCGTGGTAGGACTGCCGGCGCGAGGGGAAGAACTCGCTCTGCGCCTTCCTGGACGGGCGGGCGGGGAGGAGCTGGGATTGCGCGAGGGTGCTCCGGGGCGTGGTGGAGCGGTAGGGATGATGTGGGCGGAAGGAGCGCGGGAGCGTCTGCGCGAGGAGCGGGGTCGACTCACGCGCGGGGGCGGGGGACGCGGGGAGGGTGTACACGCCCTGCGCGGCGAGGTCGGACGTGTCGATGTCGGGTTGGTCTTCGGTGATGGTGGAGGAGGAGGGCGAGGACGCGAGCGGCGGGGAGGACGGCGGGGAGGGATACGATTGGAGGGTGTCGACGTACGACGTGGATATATCTGGTGCGAGCTTAGCTTTATGGGCATAGGGGCGGGGCAGGGAAAGACTCACACTCGACGAGGAAGATGGCGAGCAGGGAGCAGAGGACGATGAGGCCGGTGAAGCGGCCGGCGGGGTGGTCGGCGAGGGCGTCGAAGGCGTCCTGGAGGAGGTGCACGAAGGCGGTGGAGAGGATGACGCCCGTGCCAAAGTGCTTGCCGACGAAGAAGACGATGGGCGGGATGCGGAGCACGCGCACGCGCTTGGAGAGCGTCGGGAAGGACACCGCTGGGTGGGGCGGTTAGTCGTGGTAAACAAGGAGAAGAACGGAATGCGCACCGAAGAGCGAGACGAGGAAGATGATGGCCACGACGCCCAGGCGCGCGCCGAGGGCTTCGTCCACCTCTGCGGCCCTCCTCATCGTCGCGGACGCATGCGAGGGCTCTGATAGCGCAGAAGGCGGGTGCGGGGGCGCGATACGCATGCGTAGGCGTGGCGGGTGCGAGAGGCAGGGCGCGTTAACCAGGATACTGCAGTGTGCGCTGTGTATTAGAGCGGTGACGGGACGACCCAGGTTCCCCAGTAAAGGATGCGACTTCCGCTTCAAAACGCGTGCCTGGGACTGCGACGGTCGAGCGAGCAAGGAGATGAGGACCGCATCGGTGACCGCGCGGACGAATCCGAGCCAATTGATTATGACGCTATACTCCTAACCCTAGCGCACGGCAAGTGCCGGGAGTCGACTCATCGTACGTGTACTCGATGATTGCCGCAGTTTAAACACTGAACGCCAGGCTTCCTCAGTGCATTTTCTTCTCAAGATCATATGGCGCTTGCAGCTCGGCGAGATATCGAGGAGCGGATCGCCCAGCGATATACAGAAATCGTCGACCTCAAGCGTCAGCTGAACACGCTAGTCCTCATTCATGCGCGTCTGCCACCTGAGCTGCTGGCCGAGGTATTTATGGCCTGTGCTCAAATAAGCATCAGCCAGTACGACAAGCAATTCTATGGGTCCCCCGCCCGCCAGTACCGTTGTCGTTTTCGTATCGCTCAAGTCTGCCATCACTGGCGCGAAGTAGCTCTTCAAACCCCCCGGCTATGGACATCACTCGTTATGGTTAAGCTTCCGTGCTTGAACGAAATGCTGGCTCGGTCGAAAGACGCGCCTCTATCGATCACGGGCAGCATGGGGAACTCCGTGGAGGTAATAGGCCTGTTCAGATCCGTTGTTGGCGAGCTACACCGCCTAAGACATCTCAATCTTACCCGTGCGAACAGATATATTGCGACAATTTCACCGCTCCGGACCTACTCCAGTGCCCCTCTTGCGATCCTTGAAATTGAGTGCCAGCACATCGTACACAGAGCCTCTCGCACGGAGCACCGAGCCGCTGCCGCTCATATCAACTCTAGTGCCCACGCAACTCCGAGAGCTGGATATGTCCGGATTCCCGCTCGACTCTTTTCGAACGTTGGTGCTTCCATCCCTTACAAGCTTGTCTTGGTCTGGGCATTCGATCAAGTCGACCGTGTCTGCCGTCCTCGCTCTGCTCCGTGATACTCCACTTCTCCCCTCACTCGCCTTATATAACGCGGTGGTGGCCGGAGAGGACCTCTTGCCCCATACCACGAAGTGTCACGCCAACCTCCCTCACTTGCAACGTCTTGATATCCACTGTGCTGTCGTTCCCTGCGCGGAGCTCGTGGCGCGTATGTCGTTTCCGCCGGAGGCTGCGGTGCAGTTGAAGGTGGACGACTTGTCAGACGAAGTCCCTCCTCAGGCTCTGGAAGCCATGCTTGCTGTCATTAAGAAGATCTCCGACCCGCAGCCGCTTCGTACTCTCCTCATAACAAGCGCACTCAACTACCGTCATGCGCTGGAATTCAAAGGGTGGACAAGTGTACTTCCCAACGAATCGGGTTCGCACCCGCCCGCTGCAAAGATACGCTTGACAGCAATGAACTCGGGGCCTGAGGCCGAGCCGGTAGTGCAGAAAATGGAAAGATGCTTACCGCTCTCCGATGTGAAGTATCTCCCAATTGAAGATGTGCCCAGCTTTGACGCGTGGAAGAAGTCGTTCGGGCACATGAGGGAGGTCACGAAGCTGCCGCGTCTACTTACGGGTTAGCCGCCGACTATCTCACCACCGCGCTTCGTGTCCACAATAGGCAAAAGGAAGACTCCTGGGAAGCAAAATGCCGACTCGCGAGACGTGGAAGATGACGATCCCCACGTCCATCTGTTTCCTCATCCCAAACACCTTCATTTGGACGTAAGTGCGACTTTGCGAGGATCACGATGATTACATACACGGAGGGGGATTTCGTAGATGACATCGAGGCAGCACTGGGATCACGGAAAGTCAGGCATCGCAAGTTCCCACACCTTGATGTCCGAAGAGCAACCAACTTCGACCGGCAGGAACTGAATCGGCTACAGGGGGTTGTCAGAACACTCACCTGGGACGAAGACGTGAATATCGAGGACATCGAAGAAGACGGCGATGAATATTCTGACAATTCCGATTATGCGTGAAACTGCGCCTCTCAGATGATACAGTGTTGTGCCAGTTCCGAACTAGTGGACGAAAGTTCGGAGAACCGTCAACTCGTCCACTAGTTCCGTTTACTTTTGGATAACTTTCCGGCGGAACTGTGGCGCGAGCAGTCCTCCTCAGTTCCCGTCGAGATGTTGAGTTCCCCGTCCGTTCTGATTGCGGGGATGATGGGTTGCTCTCTATAGTCTTGAACTCATGCGCTTAGCTAAGGTTTTTCACCGTATATATGGTAGTGAGTGGAAAAGTTGACCTCCGTGGGCAGGTTGACGAAAAGTCAACGGTTCCTAAACTTTGTAGAACTAGTTGCTTAGTTGACGAAACAACTAAACTAACTGGCGTCAACCGGCCCAACACTGGGCACCAATACCCCAAACCAGAACAATCTGTCCTTTGGTCACCAAGCAGCCCGGCTGCACCATAGTGCCATGTATGGAAATATGGTGCAGCCGGGCTGCAGCATGGATAATCATGCAAGACTTAGTTCGATGGCTTCAGGTAAGTTTCCCTTTCACCTTTTCGTGCCTTTTGGGATATACTAGGTTGGGTTCATTAAGGCATATAAACCTGCAGACAGTGGGTTATTTGATTGCATAGATGAAAGTTATCAGAAAGCATCAGCACGTGGGGGAGGCAAAGCGAGATAAACTCATCAGGGAAGTAGTTGCATCTGAAGTAGCCTACTTGTGTCTAGATGTCACAATAGAGATGCTGTGCCATGGACTACACCATCTTTGGGCGTTTGATCTCCACAAACACGAACTTCTTCAGACAAGAGAGACTGATGCGAGACTTGCCAGGATCCAGAAGCTCACCGCCCAGACGTTTGTGAACCATCTCTCGTATCTTGTTGACATCAGACGTGATGCAATTCCCCTTCAGCACAGCGGTAACCACCTGTTGAGCGTATGCGGTTTCGCCTCTGACCTCGCGAAGGTATTGGCCCTCGGGATAGTATTGAGCAGAGCCTAACCCCTTTGTTGGTGCTTCATACGTCTTGGAGTCAAGGACCATCAGTGCGAGAGCCAAGAAGGGGACTCTGGGGAGAGTCTTATCTGCAAGGTTGGGCAGAGCCAGTGCGAGGTTGTGGATCAATCGTTGGGCGGCGGGATTGGTAGTGACATCTCCATATAACCTGTCAATGTCACACGATAACTCGGTCAAATGACAGAGGTTGTAGCAATAAAAGTGGCCACCCGTGGCCAGTGTCTTGATGGGGGTGTATATGCAATGCATAATATTGGGGGGTTGGATGCTACATCCCAGAATCAGCAATTGGCCATCCAGAAATCGGTGGAAGACTTACAGGACATCTCCTGGTACGAGACAAATGGTGCCGATCCGTTCCACCATGTTGCAATCATGGACGAGTTGATGCAAACTCATTTTTGCAGCTGTGTCAAATCGGTCTCGCACCTCCTCTCGGGATTTCAAACCTTCGGTGCGGATTTTCAACAGAGTCCAGAACTTCACTCCATCTCTGATCGCCATCCACGTTGCCGCGCCACCTGCATCGTGGTGGGTGTGCAAGACAAATCCGGCGTGCGTGAGCAGGTCCCACATGACCAACTGAAAGGTATCAGGGTGCAGTAACTGTGGGCCAGCTATCCTTGCCACCTGCTCGAGGAGTTCGCGGGCCTCTTCAGAGTCTGGCGGCGGGAATGCAAAGTCGGTCATGCGATTTTGATACATCGCGAGGTACTGCTCATTTAATGCGCTGGGGAGTAAATGTCAGTGCACTCCAAAGAAAGCCAGCGAGACGGAGTAGCGTACGCAATGAACCAAGGAGTTCCCGCATGGCTAGGTGCATATGGGTCTAGCAGATTACCGCAAACTTTGGGACGACGTTGGGTACCGGGCCTCGTAGCCATGTCAATGAATTCCCCTAAAGTATTTTCACTATGGATGACGGGTGGTGTGGCAAGGAATTTCGCTGTGGCCTTCCCCTCCTTGACCAGCCAAGCATGCTTCAAGTCATACTCCATTCGCTTCTTAGCATCTACAATGCGCATCACCGCCAAGATCAGGACTCAAGGACTAAGGATATCAAGAAATCGAACCTTGGTACTCGACTGTATTGCGAAGAGAACCTTTATATAACTCCAATGAACGACAATCAAACTTATATTGTGTACCAGGAAGTTTGAACCCGCGCACGAGGACCGGAATACCCTTGGAGAGCTTCTCCTTGATGAGGCCCACCACCGTGATCGAATCCTCCGTAGAAGGATGAATGCTGTCTTGACACATGGACTGAATGTCCAGGGCATAGACTAATGGCTCGCTGCCATCAGCCGGGTTTAGAGCGTCAGGTGCAGCGGCCATTGCACGGGCGACATCAATATCCTATGACCAAATTGAGTAAATATGGGTCTGCGTAGATTCCATAAGACGTACCTGGGTGTATTTACCTTCCACAAAGGCCCAAGGAAGGAATGATCGGACCCCATTTGCCCAAGTGACCTGTTCAGTACCGGGGGGGAACTGCGGTCCCTCCAAACCATCAATCAAGGAAGGTAGTGTCATGGTATCTGTTGAATCATGTCCCTCCTGTTGATCCAGGGTCGCGTCAGCATGCTCAGACGTATTTGGGGAGACTTCAGGAGCACAATTCTCATGTCCGGGGTTGCCAAAGGTTGGGAGAGCGAGTTCACTACCCAGCAGAGTGAGAGCTCCCTCGAAGGGGTCATTAGTACCAGGCAATGTCGTCCCAGGAGATGTTGTCCTGTCATGGGCTGGAGACATTGCTCGTTCCTGCGTAGATGAGGAAACATTGGGGGACTCATGTTCGCGCATACCATCATCAGGCACCGGTCCTTGCGGCATCGGCAGTAGGTTATTGAGGACAGACATGTCATTGATCTGGATCGAGGAGGAAGGTTGCGGCAGCTGCTCATCTTCCTCAAGCTGAGAGAGCCTCCGTTGGGTGCCACGGCCATGTCCATGCCCTTGAGTGCAGGATCCATGACTGGAAGATGTGTCTGCTTTAATATCTTGCTGACGCAAGGTAGCTGCAACATGCCGGGCTACATCCTGCCCCTTGATTACCCCATTTTTGAGGAAAGTGGACTTGCCTTTCGAACCACATGAGCGTGAGTCCATCCAGTGAGGCTTACTCAGGTGTGTGCCGCTGCCAGCCAATAGCACAGCCTGCTGGATGAGAGGGTGATGTGCAAGCGGAATAACATCGTCCCATACTTGCCAAAGGCCGCTATTCGCTTTCCAGCAGACTTGTTCGTTGCCGAGCTGGGTGCAGATCCAAATGTCACCAACCCGAGGCACATCCGCTGAACCTGCAGCAGAGAGGGGAGGGGGAACAGGTCCCGCAAAGACAGCGAACCAGACAATATTGAGTGAATTGGGATATGGCCAGGTAGCAGGAATTTGCCCCGAAAGCTTGAAATTCATGGTTTCGGCGGTAATACCAAGTGCTGGATCACCCTGAGGTGCCCTCACACTGTACAGATCCACAGGCGGCGAGGTAGGCACATTCTGTGCCGCTGGAACAGCCGAGCTGGGCATATGCTGCAGCCATGGAATCACCTGCTCAGGCTGGTCGCTAAATATTTATATAAGACGCAGGCAATGTTGAGCTGAAACCAAGGTCACGTACCAGCGTACGTGAAAACGACCGAACATGAGGCAATGATTCAGTCCAACACAAGCAAGCTAAGTGACAAGGATCGGCTGCTTAGTTATTATCATAGCTGAATTGAAAGAACATACTTGCACAGCTTATACTTATGGTAGATGCCACACGAAATCAAGTGGCACAGGTTTGCTGGTGAGAAAAATCCAGCCAGACTGTTGACTCATGTGCTGATGTGGTGTTGTGACGTGACAATGTGATGTGATGATGGCAGCCACTCGGCTCTCCGGTTATGGCTAACCGGGCTGCCGCCGCATGTCCCAATTTGGATGGCAGACCCAGCCGGGCTGGGGCACCATTTCCCAAATTGGAGGGCAGATGCAGCCGGGCTGGATGGCATAATAAACAAGATGGTGATGTAGGCAATGCGTAGATATTATACACAGTGTGCTTTTTAAGGAATGAAACTGATGAGTTATTACCATCTGTGGGCAGTTGTAGCTGCCCGGGTGGTATGCGTAATGGGTTCATCCAGCTGCCTTACCAGTGGATTGTCCTGCAGCATGCATTCCAGCGCCATGCGAAGGTCACGAAGGTCACGACTCATCTCCTCGCCTCGTGTGGCCTTGGAGCGCAACTGCTTGAGCCCCTCGCGACAGGTATATACATACGTGCGCAAATTCTTGAAGGTACCCAGAGTCCTTCCAAATGCACAAGCCATGTCTGCATACGTAACAAGGGGTCCATCCTGCAACATCACCGATGGCGCAGCACCAGAGTCCGGCCATGGCATGCCAATATGTGCAGCAATACATTGGGCAGATGTTAGGAAGCAATGTCCTAACTGGTCGTCCTGAGATAACTGGGCCACGTGCCAACAGTTATGTCGTCACTACCTCAGTAAGCGTACTGAAAGGTAGGTCTGGCCGGGCCAATGCCAACGGTCAAGTCAAGAGTCCAGGTAATCGCTGTATTCAACAGGAGGTTGAACTAAGGAATACATGGGTTTTCCTACAGTATATATAGTAACTGGTATAGGGGTTAATACCCAAAGAAGAGAACAATAAGAAAGGACGCGTAAGCTGTCCTGTGAGAACGTAACTCAGAGAAATGAGAAATACAAGGGCGCCCATTGGTAGAAGGTGAGTCAAGGGAGATAACGTGTGAGAAGAAGATAGCGTCCATGGGAAGGTTTACTCAGAGAAAGGTACTGTCCAATAGCAATGCTCGGAATGGAAATGGAATGAGATAAGCATGGGAAAATCATAACAGCAGACAGTTCAATCTGATAATGGGACCACGCGGTATTGCGACTGCTGCATATGTTGATAAGCCTCAGGATCGTCTGACCCCCGAAAACGAGGACTCAGCATGTCGTACAAGCCCCCCGGAGCTTATTCGACACAGCGCTCACCCGCCTCTAGGCTTCTATGGGCTCTAAAGACTTGCTCTGTTTTAGCTCCGGACTTCCTCACATCCTTGAGGCGTACACGGACCCATTCCACGATTTATCTCCGTGAACAGGAGCTCCGGAGCGACTTAACCAATGCAACGTCTAGATGAATTAGCTCCGGGGCCCGCGGTGATAAGCCCCAACGATCTTCTGACCCCAGAAATTGCGAGATTGACACATCGTACATCCCCTCCAAAGCTTATTCGACACCACCTGTCGAACTGCTTACGCTACAAGTAACCGGCGAAGGGTTCTGGATTTAATTCCGGACCTTCTAACGTCCTCAAGGCAGGCGCAGATCAACAATATGATTTACCTCCGCAGCCAGACGCTCCGAAGTCAACCGGAAGAATACTTTCGTAACTAATTATCTCCGGGAACGGCGGAGGCCCGCGTCGCAGTGAGTCATTGGTATTGCCACTCCCCAGTCATCACGCCCCTTCGTTTCCGTCAACGCGACCGAGTCAGCGGACGTAAATCGACGGCCGGACGGAACGTATCAGTCAGCAAACGGCCGGAGCTAAAACCGCACGTGGTCGGCCTGCAGTACCGCGTGATGAGGCACTTTAAGCGAGCATGGACGCGTCGAGGATACCTCTAGGACCTAGGACGAGCAGGTGGAAACACGGTAGGGTCGTATGGGACACGGTATAGCGGTGGGCAAAGGCTGAGTAATTGTGTGGGTTGCGGAGCATATTTGTTATTTAACTCCGGACGGGCGCAAAGCCATTCCAATGGTATAAAAATGTATGGAGCGTAGTGGAAAATACAAGTTTTTTTGTACTTCACCCCTCAGCGTACCAGAATTATCGTCTCAGCGACCCTCGGAGTCCCTTCGCGTCGGACTTAGCGTCTACAA